CCATAGATGTCGTGCGCCACCAAGGAAGTAATAAAGTATCTCAAAAGTAACTTATTAACCATGCTGACAACGCTGCCAGTTCCTGTATCTTTCTCTCTGTGTGTGTGTGTGTGTGTGTGTGTTAGCATTGCTTGGGGGGGTTGCGCGTGCGTGTGTGTGTGTGTGTGTGCTGCCCGCCCACTCAAACAGCGTGACGTGTTTCATGTTTGCTAATTGCGAGTCGATTTTTCATTTCACATTTCTCATGAGTGTGCCCCGCCTTTCAATCCCTTTCTTCCATGACACCGCCCCCCCCCCTCCCTCCCCCACACCCCTTGCGAATGCATTTGCTGTACCTTCTCTTTAGCCGGACCTGCTGGCTCTTCGGTCCCTGGTCTCTGAGCCACTTAGCAACTGATTGAGCCCTTTTTGCCCATTGTGTGCGTTGCGGCAGCGGGACTGTGAAACGGTGGGCGGGGGCGGGGGCGGGGGCGGTGCGTGGCTGCCGTTACGACAGGTCGTCAGCGGAATTTGAGGTTATGTCAGGCCGAGCAAAAAAAGCCTATATATATATATATATATATATATATTGTGTATATGCTTTGCCGTTTCTCAGACTAAAAATGACGCAAATGGTTAATTTAATTACAAATTCTTTGCTTTCTTTTGCATTCATATTAAATTTTCATGTGCCCAGAGACCATGTGTGCGTGTGTGTGTGTGTGTGTGTGTGTGTGTGTGTGTGTGTGTGTGTGTGTGCACCTGCTGTCATTGCTACACTTGCTACATTCTGGACGCTTAAATACCCTAGAGACTTGAGCATCCCCACATCCACAGACACAAACACACCCACCCAACACACACACACACACACACACACACACACACACACACTGATTGTGGCTTCAGTGAAAAATAGCGCTCATTAATGTTGCTCATTAGCAGCCGCAACGGCTGTATATGTTGCTGCACGTTTCCGTTTGGTCCTTGCTCCTCGCATTTCTTTTCTCGTTTCGGTCATCCCCTCTTCGGCCATTCAACGAGTGTCAACTGCCAAATGATTTGCCATTATTTACTAATAAAACTCATCGAGTTTTACCACACGCTCGTCGCGCTAATCGAATGTGCAAGCCAACCCCGCAGCCCCAACCCTAAGCCTACACATGGCCCAGCCAGGACATTTTCTCCTGGTGCTGCCTTGACAAGTTGTCCCAGCTCTGGCAGAACTCTTAATACGTTCTGACTGCACGTTTACCCCACTCCCTCTCCGGCCATCATCCTGCCAAATGACCCCAATCAACAGGACTATCTAACCCAAAGATATTAGGCGCTGGGCGCGTTAAGAGTTGCCCATCAAAATATCTTAAAGTTATACAGATATTTCTAGCTTGGTTTTTTGGTTCTTGATCTTCAATGCTTCAGTTCTTAGCACTATGGTTAATTATAAATAACAGCTGAACAGCCGAAAGCTGTTAACAGACATCCTCTTCTGTTAACGCACAGCTGTAAGACTGTTAACATTAGTTGAGCTACCGTTACATAGGCTTCTGTTAAACTTAACAGCTACTCAAACATGTTGTCTAACGTTGAGCATTCCGTTAGCTCTTCTGTTTGACATGGAAATAGAATAGAAAAACTCATATAAATGAATTATCCAAATACAGAGCTTTAAAATCTAATAAAAGAATTTGATGCTAGTTTGTTTTAAGGTTTGAACCAGCTATCTGCATTTGCAACCAAAAAAGTGTTATATTTCAGATACTATTTGTGTCTGCTACTTGAAGTTGACATAATTTTGAGAAAAATCAAAAGTCATCCAAAAAGTAACATATTCTAGATGTTTTTTTATGTCTATATATAAGACGGACTGACTGACTAATTGGAGATCAACGCATAGCGTAAGCCGTCAGTGTTAGGGAAAACTTTTTTGTTTACGATCCTTCAATTTGGCATTTAAGTCTAGCAACATTATTCTTAGTCAAAAATATGATACGCTCAAATATCCTATATAGACATAGGTCGAATTTTCCCAAATCCGCGATCGTAAGAAGAATAAACTTTCTTTAAGCCGATGAAACAGAACGTATCCAAAAAGTGATATCAACTAGATAACAAAATTATTCATCTTTGAAGAAAATCTAGATAGTCTTAAAGTTTCCTCAACTTGAAGCTTAACTTTGTTTCGAAAACATTTACGTTTATTACACAATCAATTATTAATTACAATCGCATAGTTAGGATCCATTCAGCAAAAACTCACATACGGAGGGTTAATTCGTAGTTTGTTTCGTATTCATAAGGTTTTGATTAATGGGGCGTACGGAACTGCGATTCAAATTCGAATCAATTTGCAACCCTGCGACGCAGACGTCGACTTCGACGTCAACGTCGACGTCAACTTTCTATTGATGGTCAGGTTGATGTGCGGTCCCAAGTGGAAACTCTTGGCTCTTTGCTCTTGGCCGGATGGGCGGTTGGGCGTGGCTGTTCGGCTAGTTGAGCTGCCATTCAAACTCTTTCGCTTTTGGGTCAGTCTTTGCATTTAATTTCGTTTATTCATTCGAATGGCCACAAAATGACATTTGCATTTGGGCAGCGGTCACTGCCCCATTTCCCAGACAACTATCGGCAGGCAGCCCCACCCTCCTTCTGCCCTTTATCACACTGTCCAACCCGAAACCACTCATATTCATGTCCCAGCTAAAGGCAGCTGCGGCTCACGGGCTGCACCCCGGGGAGCGTCAAGCAGCTGAGCCTGGACCTGCGGATGCGAATATGAATGTGAGTGTGAGTGTGAATAGTGAATAGTGAATGTAAATGTGAATGTGATGGTGGATTTCCATGTGGGTTGCGTGCCCTAATCTCATAACGAATGAATGGCACATTTGGCAAATTTGTTTTGACAATTGAGAAGTGAGTGCAAAATTTATGGAACGCCAAAGTGCGAAAAACTATCTATTCAAATTGTGGCCCACTATCCCTCTCTCTCTCTCTCACTCTCTCTCTCTCTCTCTTTATGTGTGCGCTTGTTTGCCTGCGTAATTAATTCTGTGCTGACTCGGCGATTTGTAGGCCGTGTCACAAAAAGGCACAATTAAATGCACAACTACAACAACAGCCTCACAGATAAATGAGTGTGTGCCGAGCTTTTAAATAGGACTCGACTATAAACATACTCTGGCTTTTGCCCTGCCATCAGTATTGGCAACTGCTGTTGGAAAAAAAGAGGCTTAAGCCAGTGTTAAGACTAACCGAAGCTGAAAGAGAGTGTTATCGATAAGCAAGCTTGATCGATAACAAAGAAAAGAGTCAAATTGTTATTCGAGCATATGCTCTAAGCATATGGATCCAGCAATGAGAGGGATATATCTGTTGATCTGTCATATGTGCAGGGTATTTAAATGAAATACTAGATGGACGCAAGCATACAGCACAAAATATTCAATCGATGGCACAATTACATTCATCAAGAGCATATCCACTGTAAACAACTGTTTACAGGGTATCATAATGCAATGAACACGGCTAGCAAACTGGGCACATGGCAGTTGGGATGCTGCTAATGCCATAACTGTTGCCCCTTGCCGGTTGCTGTTGTCGTCGCCAGCGCCTTGGCCAATGTGGCCAAAAAGCAATTAGCAAAGTTTTCAGCTGCCGTCGCCGATGCCAGCGGACCAGCCAGCCAGCCAGCCAGCCAGTCAGCCAGGAGAGACGAACAGCGGGCAGTCCGGCTGTCTGTAGCTGTCGAGTTGGGGCAGCAGCAGCAGCAGCAACAGTGGCTGCCCATCATCAATCTGCTGCAGTTGCCACACCAGCAACACGCAGCTCCCCTCACCATCCCAACCCAACCCAGACTATAGCAGGCACTGCACCTACGTGCGAGGACGACCAGCTAGTCGAAGACCAGGCGCGACCATCGTCATTTCCAATTATTCATGGATAATCTAACCCAAAATGGGACGTTAATTACGGGCGCATGTCACTGGCACTATGCGCCACCGGCATGCCCCCAACCCTCTCCCCGGCAGATCCCAACCATTGGCGACTCTCAGCTGAGCTGATTGCAACATATAAACTATATACTTATTTGCCAAACTGGTTGCTGGCCCCGAGACCCGCGAGGTCGGCTCAAAGGGTATTCTATGTAGCTGAAAATACCCTATCAACTGACATTATTGCGAATTCAATACTTTTTCTCGACCAACTTGCAACATCTGAGCCAAATCGGAGTGCTTAGGATGACTTTCCACATGCAAGACTTCAGATAGTAGTTATATTTATTATTCTTTTATATATTTTTTTCACAGCATTTAGTTGCTTGAAAGCACTTTTGGCCAATGATTGACTATTTCTTGAGTGACTCTCGTGCATTTCAACACTTCTGCATTGTGTGATTAATTAAGCAGCAAATGTTGCCAAGAAAAAAATGCAATTCGCTGTTTTTGACAACTCTGACTCTGTCGCAGGGCCAAACACAGCCATCTATTTAATTGTAAGAAAACTATGCTGGCCCCAACTTTAGCTATACTCAATTCAAAGAGTGCATTGAAATTCATGAATATACGTAATAAAAGGACTACTTTCAGATAATACTTATTTTCAAATAATACAAAAAATAAAGGATTTTCCCAAATGAATAATGATATTTTGAAAAGAATTGTAAACATTTGGATAATATTTTGCAATGCTGCAGAAATACTTAAAAACTAACAAAATCTATTTTCAAAATAAAAACCGCGCTCAATTCAAATTTGATTATCAGTTTTAAGGCTGACCAAAGCATTTGCAGCAAATATTTGGTCACCCTAAAGACGGCGTCTGTTCACAATGTGTACGCAGCTCAGTGCCATGGCTGCAAGCAGTTTTGCAGCTGAGCTGCCCGACTTTTTGCTTACACATGAGCAGCGTACACGCCTAGAGTTAACAGTCAGTTTTTAGGCTGACCACAGTTTTTTTTTTTCAACAAGAAATCTGGCCACCTTATGTTGGCTCAACAGCTGTTCACAATGGATACGCAGCTCCAGAGCCCCTGCTGCAAACAGCTTTGACGTAGAACTATCGCTGCATTTTGCTCAGCCTTAAGTGAGCAGCGTACAGGCCAGCAAATATAATTTATATGCAAAACGAATTTGCCGGCGGCACACTGTGTTCACAGACTTTTCGAGGCGATGTCAAACATCGTGCAGTATATTGTGGTGCGAAGCGATTTGCGCTCTACCCTGAACTGGCCACTGGGCGCGGTGATCGCGCAATGTTGCCATGCAACGGCGGCGGTGATGAGCGCCCATGTGGAGGACGAGGAGACGCAAGCGTATCTCAAGGATCTGGACAATATGCACAAAGTGGTGCTGGAGGCCAAGGATGAGGCGGCGCTATTGAAGCTCAGCGATAAGCTAAAGGAGCACGAAATCAAGCACAAACTTTGGATCGAACAGCCGGAGAATATACCGACCTGCGTGGCAATCAAGCCCTACGTTAAAGATGTGGTCCACAAATATGTGAAGCATCTGAAACTATTGAAGTAAACTCACATGCTGATCTGATGCCAATCTATAGCATAATCCCAGCTAGCATTTATGTTTCAATAAATCAACAAAGTTTGTAATTCAATGTAATCGAAACTTTTATGTGTTGTTTGCCTCAGATATATAACTATATATTCTTACAGACAACTTGGCAAATCCTGAACCAGCACACTCCGCTTCTGCTGGACGAGCAGAAAAGCCAACCAAGCACCTGTTGCGTGGAAGCTCTCAGCAAAAGCAGCCGGAAATAACTTGACCATAAACCCTAATGAAATATCTTAGCAGTCCCAATTTATGGCCGGACGTTGACCAAACAGACAAAAACCTAACCCTGACCATGCTCTTGGAAGCGTAGATGGCTAGCGTAGATAGGGCCCCTGCATAGAGTATGACGATTTTATAAAGAAACATCTTCGATCCCTCCAATATAAAAAACTAAGCCCAAGCCTTTTTGTACCGTATGTAATGCATTATGTGGAGAATGCGCGAAAACGATTGTTTGCTGCTTTTATGCTCTTCCATCGCTTAAAAACTCATTTCCAAAACTCTCTGCAATTTCACTTGACAGAGGTTTCAAACAAACCAGCCTTTCGTTATTTCAAATGGGTATCAAGAATTCGAAAAGCAAAGTTTTGGCTTCAGCTCATATCCAAGTATCTTTTGGAATATTCACTTGAGATCTTTACGGCTCTCTGAGTAAGGAATGTATGAAATGGAAAACTATATCATCGAACTCCTACAGGAACAAACACATCGTTTAGTCTAGAAATATGTTGCTCCGCAGCTCTAAGAATTAAGTCTGATATCAATAATAATGATAATGAGTAGAAACTTATCTTTAGATTTCCGAGTTCTTAGAACTAACAAAGAAAAATATTTAAACAAGAGTTTCTAGTCGGAAGCTGCCGACTAGGAGATACCCTGAACCCTCTTCTTCCAATATCAAATGCATATATATATTTTATTTTATGTCAAGTTTGGTGACTCTAGCTCTTATTATTTACCAAAATTGCCAAAAAAAAAAAAAAGCAGGATATCGATATCGGTTTTTATCGATTGCTTGGAAACGGAGTACGTTATCGATTATCGGAAATAAACTCGATCAGCGCGGAAACTAGGACCACCTACATCTAAAATTTCAAGTCTCTAGCTCTTATAGGTTCTGAGATCCTTGCGTTTATACATACGGACGGACGGGCGGACAGAGGGACATGGCTAGATCGACTCGTCTATTGATGCTGATCGAGAATATATATACTTTATGGGGTCGGAGATGCTTCCTTCTGCCTGTTACATACATTTGGATTTCGCACAAATACAATATACCCTTATACCCATTTTTAATGGGTTCAGGGTATAAAAATTGTTTATCCAGGCAGGATTCACATTCTATTGAGAGTATAACCAGGAATAAAACATGGTATAACTGCGAGGGTCTAGCTGCTAGCTGCACAATTATGCAGAAATAGTTTAGATTAAAATAAAGCTCTGTAACATTTATATTCCAATACTTGGACAAGCCTTTCAATCAACCGCTCCGATAGAAAACAGGCCTTGCATGGAATGGAACAGGACAGCGCAACTAACAGTAAAAGCGTAACTCCCTCAACATATATATATATATATATATATATATGGGAGTATGTTGCTTTTAAATTATAATAAAACAAGCGGTTTCTTTGTCAATAACTTAAATATTTATATAGATTGGGCTTACATCATGATTTTAGCTAAGTCGGGTGTGTGGGCCCAGCCGTTGGTTTTACACGTATATATATATATATATATATATATCTATATATACATATATATATTTATAAAGTTATCATAATATTTATTAACAGTTAGTGGGTAAAGCGCTAGAAATTCAAATACTTTTCCAAACAAGTAAATTGATAATAATATTTAAACAAAAAAAAAAAAAAAATAATGCAAAATCAAACAAATTTCGTTTTAAAACTTAAGAGAAAAATTATCTAGATGCAAGCATGCTAATATATATATATATATAATTATATATATGTATATGTATAATTGATGCGGATTTTACAAAAAAAAAATATTTGTAATATTTGTTTTAGTTGTTGTTTTTTTTTTCGGTCTGCAGCTTAGAAAACGAATTTGTTGAAATCGTTTAAAATTGTAATTGGCCAATTGTCGGTCCGATGTGTGCTTTGCATTTGAATTGACTTAGGTTTCTAGTTGGGATGGGGCGTCAGTTTCTTTCTTATGAATTGCTCAAAATTGCTGCGATACAATATCTTTGGATGCTCCTCGGTGGCATGCTCGTCCACCTGCAGTGTGCTCGTCCATTTCCAGAGCTTGCGACGCGAATAGCTGTGCCGGAACGAGGAGAATACCTCGTTGAAGCGATGCGGCTCGATTTGTTCCTTAAACAGTGACTCCTTGGTATTGGTATTATAATAATAGATTTGCTGATGTGATCTGGAATAGGCGGTCACAAAATTGACGGCCAGTTCACAGAATATGATAATGCCGCCGGGCACAAAGAATTTCTGATCATCGAGCAGATAGCCGTATCTCTGTGAATTATCCTTGAGCACATAGGGACGCATCTCGTTAAAGAAACGGCTCATATCCTGCAGCCGAAAGATCGGCTTGCAGCGTATCGCACCGCATGTCCGCTCCTTTTTGTGCGGCTTATTCAAACTGCGCGCATACATGGCACACATGCCGACCCGCTCAAGAAATGGCCGTCGCCGTATATCGATGCCGCCCAAACAGATGGCATCCATGATATGCAGCGCCGATACACTCTGCGATGTTCGTCCCTCGCCGCTATATTCGAACACAATCTCGCCAAAGAATATGGAACGCGGCTGTACATTGAAACTGGACTCGACCTGTTCCCATTTTCTGTGCTCCGTATAGCGCAGCAAATTGCCGCGTGATTTGCATAGAAATAGCGTACAGCCGTTAATATTTATTTCGCCACGTCCAATGGGCATGAAATGCCAATCGCTAACGTTCAGTATGTCGGTGTGCAATGGCGCAACGCCCTTTAGCTCCATGGCCGGTATGTGTAGCCAGTTGCGATCATTGGACCAATCTCGCAATAGCTCCTCCAGCAGACGTTCGGTGGTTTTCACTTCCGGCGCCTGTCGCAGCTTATCGGGCAGTGCCCAACATTTTAGGCACTCCTGTCGCACCTCCGACTGTCTAGCCTCCTTTAGTTCCAGATTTTGGGCAAATGCGGCTATCTTGTGCAGGCCAACAATCTGTTTATTGCCAATCGCATTGTTCGAATCAATGATATAGCGTAGAAAATGCTCATCCTGTAGCATCTCATTGCGATCGAACAGTTCAAGTACATCGATTTGGATTTGATGTTCCTTATTATCGCTCTCATCGTTCAATATCTTATTGACCATGTTCATATAGCTAACGATTGCCTCTGTGTCGGCCAGCTTGTATTTGCATACAATATAACGCTCCGAGTTCGCTGGCCGGCTGCTATTTGGTTTGATAATTGCGATTTGCTGGAAGCACTTGTACATTAAATAGACAAGACTCACGCTGAACGGCGTGAACAGATCAAACAGTTTGCACACAAAGCTGCCATTGATGCGTAATATTTTGAGGGCGGTAACAAATTGGCATAGATACAGCTGCTTGGATAGTATCTCTTGGATATTCTCTTGTCCTTCCACAGAGAAACCGCCATCGGCCATGGCAAAGTGTACACCTTGCGGTGTATGCTTTCGTATATAATCGTTCAATGAATCCTGATTGCTCTGATCGAATATATTGCCATCTTCCTTGATGCCATAGTAGGCATCAAATGATTCCGGTGAGGCGGCAAAGAATTTATCTAGCTTAAAATCGTTGGTGCCGCGTAGCGTAAAACCAAATCCTTTGGCCTTCCATGATTTTCGATATAGCACATATTCAGAGAAGCCGCCGGGTCCTGCATGATAGTAGACATAAAGATGAATAGCATAATATTATATATATGTATGCACAGAAAAACCAACCCGCGCACATGTCCGCAAAGTAGAGGAGCTCATTTGTGCCGATCAGCGAATTGCCATGGGAATCTCGGGGCTGTGTGAACATATAATCGCACATGGAATCAATGTTGGCCATTTTGACGGCGGCACGATTTAAAAATATGGAGCTGCGTATTGTCTCGAACGGATTGCATCGGGAGCGTGCACGTCGCTTTTCCGTATCGCTTAGGTCATCGAACACGGTCTTCGCATTTAGGATGTGCTGTAAAATCTCTGGATCACAGAATTGCGTCTCATCGTCAAGGGTGAGCTTACGTGGTCCGGTTATCATGTGCCCCATCAGCTGTTCCAATGTATAGGCGCCGCAATTGTCACCCATTTGATTTAACCAAATCACTGGCTCTGGTATTTCCAAATCCTCACAGCTCGGATCCCATTTACCGGCAGACCAATGGACGGTGCTCAATTTTAGGCCAAAGCCACGACGTCCATCCTGCTGCACGGCAATAACTGGCTCCAAGCGGCCCTGTTTGCTCTTACCCAGACCCTTGTCGTCCTCATAACCCATTTTCTTCATCATGCCCATGGCCTTGTTCGAATAGCAATAGCTATTGAGCCAATCGCGCTTGATCTTTTTTGGCGTTGGCTCAAAGTTCTCATCGTCCGATGGCTCCTCCATTTTTGCTGCCAATTTTTCCTTTACGCTGCACAGCTAATTTGTTTATGATTACTTTTTTATTATTATTTTTTTTTTTTTTTTGGTATTGGGGCTTGTGTTGCTGCTGCTGCTGCTGTTGTTGTTGTTGTTGCTGCTGCGACCCTCTCAGCTTGGCGTTTTTTTTAGCGATGGCAGTCAACGATAACATTTTGTTGGCGTTTATTGTGAATGTCCGAATTCTGTTTATCGATAGTTGTGTGTATTCAAATTGACTTTTGTTATTGGGCATAAATATTTATTTAATAATTAGATGAATTATAAACGAATTATGAATTAGATTGAGCAACTACATTTTCTCATAGGTTTCGCTGTAAGGGCAAGTCGTACAGGAATGAGTATAATTGTCTTCCAACTCATTGTAAGTATCTGGGCCAAATTCATGTTCATGCACGGCCGTTGTTTTCTTTGTATAAATACTGCTTCTGACCTCCATGCGCAGCTGCTTCATTTGTTTATTATATTTGCGCGTCTTGCCCAGCACACGCTTATCCTCGCGCTGTTCATGCTGGCGCATCAGCTCCTCCTCACTGCCCCACACATCCATGGCGCGCTGCAGCACCTGTAGATGCAAGTATAATTTCATTTCGCCCCAGCGCACATTGTGCGGATTCTTGCGGCTTATATAGCGCAGCACCGGCTCACGCTTATCAAAGTCACAGTCCTTCAGTAGATATTCAGCCTTGGCCTCGGTGCGCGTAATCAGCGAGTGACGCTCCTCGGTGTCCCGGCACTTGTCGCAAACGGAATAGCCAAAATTATTGAACAGATAGGAGTCGGCATATTGATCGCCGCAGTCCAGGCACTCCTCATACACCACCGGTATGGCAATGGCATCCTCAATGATGGGCGCCACAGCCGGCGCCTCTGTGGACTTGTTTGCCGAGGCCAGCACAGGCTGTTCCAATAGGAAGCCGCCGCCGCTGTCAATGTATTTGGTGCCCTGCACTTTAATCACCGGATTGTTTTGGCCAGCAATTGGTTGCTCGCCATTGGCATTACTGCTGCAATCGACAATCCATATAATTCAGATTGCCATCGAAATATTTGCTTGTTTTACATACTTTTCTAGTTGCTTGTAGGGATGCGAGACGAGCTTGGCTTCCCTCAGTTTTTGTGCCTTGGCTTGATTGCGCTCGATGCGCGCCTTTTGTGCATTTGTCAGCTTGGAGCTGCTGGCTCCACCGACGCTTGCAGCTTCAGTTGTTTCACGTACTGTTTCCTCAGACATATTCAATAGTTTTAGCGCAATAACATTTCACACGATTTTGTAAATTTCAAGCACGCTCTTCTTCTTGCAACACAAGCAGTCGCTAAACGACTTTGGTATTTTAAGTGGTATTTTTAATAGCACTATTTCGAGTTTTCGCGCGGATTTTTTGAAAATGTTTTACATATATACTTAATAATCGATATATGTCAAAAACATAATATGCCTGGCAATCTATATACTATATATTGCGTAAAAGCAAATGCCTTTACTTAAACACAATTCTAATTTAACTAATGTCTTGTGCGGAAAATAATTTTAAATATTGCGCACAGCTGTGTTTGGCTGCCCGCCATTGATTAAACCTATCGATAGTCGCGTGATTCGATATCTACTAAAAGCACAACATTCTGGTTAGCGACATATCGCTGGTTTTGTCATCGCTAGTAACCATCGCGCAATGTTAAAAAAACATTACAAATTACTGCTAAAATGTGCACTAGCCATACCGATTATCTTTCTGCTGGACTTTTGTGGCGTTCTGACGCATCTGTACGAACTGGACTTTGAGACGCACTACTACTATCCGCTGGACAATGCGACCGTCACACCGCCAGACTGCAAGTTCCTACAAATGCCCACATTCATGGTCGATCGCGACCTGGCGGATCCGCCCCGACTGACCATATTGGTGAAGAGCGCCATTGGCAATCTGCAGCGACGCCAGGCCATACGCAAGACATGGGGCTACGAGGCGCGCTTCTCGGACGTGCACATCAGGCGCGCCTTTGTGCTGGGCATGCCCGCCGAGGGCGGCGGCAGCAAGGACGCGGCCCAGACCGAGGCCAAACATCATGGGGACATAATACGCGCCGACTTTGTCGATGCGTATTTCAATAACACAATCAAGACAATGATGGGCATGCGCTGGGCCAGTGAACATTTCAATAGCAGCGACTTTTATCTATTCGTGGACGACGACTATTATGTGTCCATTAAGAATGTGCTGCGCTTTCTGGGCAAGGGTCGACAGACGCATCATCAGAGCCTACTATTTGCCGGCTTTGTATTCCAGAGCTCTCCACTGCGACACAAGTTCAGCAAATGGTATGTGTCGCTCGAGGAGTATCCGTTTGACAAATGGCCGCCGTACGTGACGGCTGGCGCCTTTCTATTATCACGGCAGGCCCTGCTCAAGATGTATGCGGTGGGGCGTACTCTGCCGCTCTTTCGTTTCGATGACATATTTTTGGGCATGGTTGCGCTCAAGGCGCATATACCCGTGCATCGCTGTGATGACTTTTACTTTGACAGGCCCGCATACAATGGGCCGGATAGCTACAGTGATGTGATTGCCTCGCACGGCTTTGGCGATCCCGTTGAGATGGAGCGCATTTGGAATGAGTGTCACTCGGCGAATTATGCGTAGCGTACGCAGCTCAAATGGCAATATTTAATCTGTTGATACGATTGGGGCGTGCTATTAGATATAACAACTGTATAGTATATACCTGCAAACCGAGCCTTATTAAAGTAGTATTTTTATATAGTGTAAGCTATTTAAATGTTAACGGCTTGCCGATTGCAATACAAGCAATACATAAAATAAGAGAAATACTGCCTTAAATTAAACAAAATATCGCACATTTGGCGAACATTCAAAAATGCGCAAACGTTTTTAGAATACAAAAAAAAAAAATATCGAGTACACGCCAATTGCAACTATCGATTTGATATCGAACGGCAATGATCGCTGTACGCGATTAGAGCAGTGCTGTGCGCACGCATTCGATAAATGCTATCGACAACAACTTTGCGTTCTTTGAAACAGCCCCAACATCATTTCGTACGCCTTCATCTTTTGGATTTGAACAATTGTCGCGCAGTATTAAGTTGTGTGTCGTTCCGTTTGCTTGTAAGCTTTCGCGATATAACACTAATCTAGTAGCAAGTGTCAAATTTGCCAAGTGCTTACACTTCTATCTATATATTCATCAAAATATATATATATATACATATATACAACCACCCAACCAGTCAACTCACCCACCCGCATTTATTTTTTTGTAAAGTGCGCAATTCGTTTGCCATTAAACCAAACCCTCAAGAGAGAAAGATAAACTAAAAAAAACAGCACAAATTTAAGGTGAGTTTCAGCAAATTTGTTCAATTTTCTGCATTTTTTTTTTTTGCTTTTGCACCGGCAATTTTTTCATTCCCAATACTTTGCTACGTTTCGTATTTTTTCATTGTTGCAGAAAGTGGGGGGCAAAAATAAAAAAAAAAAAAAAAAGTCTGCGACTAAGAAAAAAGATCTAAAGCGCTGCTGCAAAAGCCAACGCCAACTGGTTTCTGCTTGCGCCTCTGCTGCTGTCGCTGTCGCTGCTGCTGCTGTTGTTATTCTTGTTGTAGTTGTGGCTGCGCTTCATTCCCATTCATTGCAAATGTTAGCGAGAACCAAAGAGGGCCTCCTCTTAACATTTGTTATAAATTATTTATTGTGGCGACCGTCATCGCTCCGTTAGTTTTTCCTTCTTTTTTTTTTTTCATCTCTATGTATTTGGGCAGCTGTTCAGTCGACGGCCCTAAGCTTCTTTGTTTGATTTTTTCACTTCTTTTTTTTTACTTTTTTTTTTTGGTTGTATTTGAGCTTTTTGCCGGCCGGCTTTTCGTTTTTTGGCGTCTGCTTTGCGTGTGTGTCTGTATCTATGTGAGTGTGCGTTTGTCTCTGTATGTGTGTGTGTGTGTGTGTGTCTGCGACGGCTGCTGCTTGGGCGGGGCGTTTGACGCTGTTAAATATCCTCCCCACAGTGTGTTCTTGTGGCTTGCGCGTGCTCACATGCACGTACTGAATACATACATCTATATATATATGTATAAGTATACATGAATATGTGCAGCTGTGCATTTAAGCTGCATTCGTTGTTCAACGTGTCTGTGTGTGTGTGTGTGGCTGTCGCAAATTTTTCTTATGCGAGGGCGTGGCGCACACAAGCAGAGCCAATAATGTTATCGATAATATCCAATTGGCATTGAATTTATCGCTGTACGCAAAATGCAAAAGATATTCAAAAAAAAAAATGAACTAACAGACAGCGACATATGTATGTATGCATGCATATACATGCATGCTTTGTGTGCATGTATGCGCATGAGTGTGCGTCTGCGAATGACTAAACTGCGTTGTCGCTGCTGTGCATATTTAAAATTCACTTTGTGTCGCGGGCGCATATGTACTTTGTATGTACATGCATACATATGCACATATTTTTAAATGTATGTATCAACTGGCAGACGTGCGTGTATGTGTGTGTGTGTGTGTGTGTGTGTGTGTGTGGCGGCGGCATAACAGGAGCCATCGCTGGCTGTCGCCCCCGTCACTGCAGCTGCTGACTGCGGCGAGGGTGTAAAACGGACGTGTCTGTCATTTGCCTTCCTTCTTTTGTTCTCTACATTTTCTGCTTTCGCTTCAACGAATTAACGCCCCCGCCTCGCCTGCAGTACTGCGCCGTCGCGCCACGCGTCAGCGACGCCGACTATGACGGTTTTTTTTTTTTTTCAACATTCGAGCGGCCTTTTTGACGACGCGTTCAAATGTTAAAATTGGCCTAACGGCATATTGCCGATTTGCTGGCGCCAGCCAAATGAACCCCTACTTCTCTTCACATAGACATAAGCCCCAAAATAATAATAATAATAATATAAAAAAAAAAAAAAAAACCAGATATGAAATTAACAAAACAAAAGACAGACACAAAATCAAAAGAAGCAATTGAAGCGGAGTTTGAAAAGCTCTCACCGAGGCGCAAAGGTTCACGAGTGAAAGAAAAAGAGAGAGAGTCCGCCTCAAGTGTGGGCTGAGACAAAAAGCGGCGGCGGCGGCGACGGCGAATAAAATGATTCATCGCGACCATAATTCGCTTCAAGTTGGAAGTTGATTCATGGCAAACAAGGCGAGAACATGCAAACTACTCCCCCCAAAACAACAACAACAACAACAACAACATAATTCGCCGTATATGTACATACATGCATACATACATACACACGTATTGTCTGCGTTGCAATGTTCGCCTTTGTTTTTTTGAGTTGGAAAAGGAGTTGCTGGAATGACTAAACGCTGCTGGGGCCGAGCCGTTAGTCAATCTCAGCGTCTATCGGCCAGGGGCGATTACGAAAGCGGCGTTTAGGCGCGCCTTAACGTGGCCATATATGGTCAATAAAATACGGACGGCTATCAAGCGTAGATTTATTTTGTATATATGTGTATATAGATTTATTATTTTGGCGCGGTTGCCGCCCTTGTAACGCTTGCTGTGCAATTAACGGATACACACACACAGACTCACACACACACACACATGTATGCATGCAGTGCATATGTGTGCACTTGTTATCGATATTAATGAAGCGCTTTCTTTATGTGGGCAAACAAAATTGGCTTTTGACTGAAGGGTGTGTTGTTGGGGGGAGGGGGGTGGCTACACTGTTTGTAGCTGATGTTGGTGGTGGGGGGGAGGGGGATATTGGAATGAAATATAAACGAGACCCCAGCACCGTTGCGATCGATCTATTTCTTATGAAGTTAATATATGGAAACTTTTGCGCTCATGTCTTGAATGTGTTTTTTTTTTTTTTGTTGCTATTTTGTCGATTAGCTAGTAGAATACGCGCACGAACAATGGGCAAATGTAGCTGGCACATTTTGGCTGATTTGCAACTAAAAATAAACGTGATAAAATGCAGTTTATAATTGTTAGCAGCAAACGGCGACTAACAAAACAAGCACTGATAACGGTACACTCGCCTCCAGTTGCTTGTCCAATTGGAATTTAATCTGCTGCTGCTGCTGCTGCTGCTGCGCTACTGCGGTAGGTTCGCTGAACTTTTTGCTCACGCTCTCTCTCTCTCTCTCTCTTACTCTCTTTGACTGCTTCTTGTATTTCTGCTGGTATTTCGATAGCGGACACACGCATGCACAGCTACTCCGTATATATATATATGTGTGTGTAAGTGTGCGTCCTTGCTGTCCAGCATGACTCATTCGCTGGCATGACAAATTTGTATGAATATGTTGCTTTGTGTTTTTAGTTTCTTAATCAATTAGTCGCCTTTCAGTGTAATCGCTATGAGAAATCGCATAATGAACCGAACGGTAAACAACGAAACAATTCTCAAAACGAAATCGAAGACATGCATGCATTGTGCGTCCGTGTGTGTGTTATCGTTATCGATGCGCATTTCCGCTTTATCGAGCCTTTGTCCATGGCTGCAGCGCTATCGATAACTGTGCCCTTGTCGATTGCGCGTTTTTTTTTTTTTTTTGAATTGTCAACGTAAATGTAACGTCATGATGTTTTCTTTTTTGGCAGATGGCTTCCCCAGCACCAGCACTCAAGGATTTGCCAAAGGTGGCCGAGAACCTGAAGAGCCAATTGGAGGGCTTCAACACAGAGAAACTGAAGAACGCCAGCACCCAGGAGAAAATCATTTTGCCCACTGCCGAGGGTAAGTGGCCTGACTGATAAAGTTGTTGGCAAAAAAAAAAAAATAAAATAATAATAATAATATGAATTCAATTTTGTATCTTATTTCTTGTTGCGTGCTGCGTGCACAGATGTGGCCGCCGAGAAGACTCAAAAGTCCATAATTGAGGGCATCACCGCATTCGATCAGACCAATTTGAAGCATACGGAGACCCATGAGAAGAATCCATTGCCCGATAAGGAAGGTGCGTATAGATATAGAAGCTCGGCATGCATAGCACATGCCCCCGTCTGATCGACCATGTGGCTAGACCAGCTTTGCCATTTAAGGCGATTGCAACTAATGTGAACAATTTAACAAATCTCTCTCTCTCTCTCTCTCTCGCTCGCTCGCTCGTTCATTTGGGCCGCAACAGCAATTGAACTGGAGAAGGAGAAGAATCAATTCATTGCCGGCATCGAGAACTTTGATGCGAAAAAATTGAAGCACACCGAAACTAACGAGAAGAACGTGCTGCCAACCAAGGAGGTCATCGAGGCCGAGAAGCAGGCCTAAAGCAGCAGCAGTTTTTTTTTTTTTTTTTTTTTTGGGGCATTTGCTAACTACGACAACGCGTCGCAACTATCTCTCTCTCTCTCATACACACTCTATCTCTTTCACTCTCTCTCTAACTCACATTCAGCTTTTATAAATTTTTTGTGTGTGTGTGATTTTTTTTTCTTTCTTTCTATATATTCATAAAATTTAGTTCATTTTCTTTTGTGTTTTTGTTCGTATAAAGAGAAAAGCAAGATGTAATATGAGAAGCAACGACTGCAAACAGCCGCCATCCAATATAAGCAAACGTTCCACAACAACTGCAGCAACAACAACAACTGCAACTGCAACAACAAACAACTATTGCAACTAAATCCAGTGGCAACATCAATGCCACAGCTGTGACAATGTTGTGCATGCGTCATTCGCGTCATTCGCGACATTCGTCAATGGAATCGTAGCTGCTTTTTGCTGCTGTCTTTCTGTTTGTTGTTGTTGCTGTTTTTTGTTTTTGTTTTTGTTTTTTTTTTTGCCAATTTGATTTCGAATTCTTGTCAAATATGCATTTGCAATAAATAAGCGAATTAAAGCTCATTCCTACTATTAAAAAGCGCATATAAATAAAAATCACGCTAATCAATAAAGACACATGCAATACAGACACTGAAATATTTAATTACTTTATAACTTAGTGTATCTTCAATGTACTTTTTAAAAGACACGATAAAACGCAAGAAGATGAAAAAAAAAAGAAAACGTTTTAAAACAAATGAAATTAACTATGCAAAAAATTATATAAAAAAAAAAAAAAAAACTAAAAACTAAAAACAAATGCAAGCGAAAAAAGCAAAAACAAACCATAAAGAGTATGTGTAATTTTTTAATGAACTTTTTTTTATATACTTTATATATGATATATTTATACTGGGAAAAAAAAAAAAACTAAATAATAAAAAGCATAAATGTAACATTTTATAACAAAATTGTATACAAGACTTTTTCTCATGCGACTTTTTTTTAGCTGAGATTTTAGAACGAATTTTGAACACGTGAAACAACTCCGAACCGAAACGCAAAGCTGATCACAATGTTTTGTCAACAATCTTTTGGATTGGACGCTTAATTCGCAAAATCGAAAATTCAGATTGATGAGACTTGATCAGAATATATTTCGATGGTGAGTTAATTCAGGTTCTAAGCGCAGCCCAATTAAAAGACATGACTTTGAATAGTGAATCGAACCAGCGACTTTTTTTACGCTGGCTTCAAATTGCCATGTACATGGCATATGTACATTAAGTATTTAACCAGCTGTGCTGGTACTGTACAATTATAGACGCTGCACTCGAATCGAAGCCATTTATAGGCCTTGGACAGGTCACAGGCATTTCGGGCTGCCATCGCCTAGATACATATCTGCCTTGAGAGCGCAGCTTTGGGCAGGCCAAGGTCTTTGCAGCGGGCCAGTCAGCGTTATGAGCGCTTTGAAAGTCAGAAAGAAACGATAGACTCAGTTAAAGTTATTGATCTGATCAAGTCCATTCGTTAGATAACTGGCCAAAGGCTTCGGCTGGCTGATTGAATAGCATCAAGCGTCTCTTATGCTTTTTCTTGTGGCAAGAATTCCTCTATCTGCGAGTCTAGAGTCTATTGAACCGTCAAATGTAAGTCGACAGTTTTGCATAATGCTAGCTGCTTTCTCAGAGCTCGAAAGCGGCACGCTAGGGGTATATGGGAATTCTCGGCACGATTGGGGAGAATATGAGCAGCTAGTCCGCTTGACGACTAAACTCATCTAGTGTGCATTCCTCTAATTGGATTTGAACTAGAGATCAAAGTAGTTTGAGGCCGATCGGATGGTAAACAAAAATCTTTCCGCCAATTTACCACTGTTGCGGGTGGAATTTACCAAATCGTATTCATTATATTATATTATATTAAGCAAATCGGAGCACAACTTTAAATCGCATTTCTATCGAAAAAGTTTGGAGTCTACGAAAAGTGTGAAACACGTTTCAAATGATTTTTCATATATAGATCCTTGAAAATGAATGCGAGTGCGAAACGTTACCCAACAAATCTTTGCCCCCCCCCCCCCCCCCCCCCCCCTACCATTTCCATCAAGATCTTTGAAAATGTTTTTGTTGCCGGATCGGATGGTAAACAAAAAAGTTGCATGCAAACGGTTTTCGCGTTTTTTCCACACTTGCGGGTGGAATTAGACGAGTTAGCTAACGTGAAAATTCAGTGTGTCCGTCTGTCCATTCGTCAGTTAGTCTGTCCGTCAATCCGTCCGTCCGTCCGTCTGTCCGTCTGTCCGACAATCAGTACGTCCGTTCCTCCGTCCGTCCGTCCGTCCGTCTGTCCATTCGTCAGTTCGTCCGTCTGTGCGTCCGTCCGTCTGTCCGTACATCCGTACATCCGTCAGTTCGTCCGTCTGTCCGTCAATCCGTCCGTCTGTCCGTCTGTCCGTCCGTCCGTCAGTCTGTCAGTTCGTCCGTCCGTCAATCCGTCCGTCCGACAATCAGTACGTCCGTTCCTCCGTCCGTCCGTCCGTCCGTCTGTCCATTCGTCAGTTCGTCCGTCTGTGCGTCCGTCCGTCTGTCCGTCCGTCCGTCCGTCTGTCCGTCCGTCCGTCCGTCTGTCCGTCCGTCAGTCCGTCCGTCCGTCCGTCTGTCCGTCCGTCTGTCCGTCCGTCCGTCCGTCTGTCCGTCCGTCAGTCCGTCCGTCCGTCCGTCAGTCCGTCCGTCTGTCCGCCCGTCCGTCCGTCCGTCCGGCCGTCAGTCAGTCAGGACACACCGTTTTAGAGATTTTGATTGATTCTCTGGCTATCAAAGTTGCCTCTGCAAGGCCTGACGCATGGACCCTGGTTGAAGCAAAGGAGAAGCAAAGGTGACAAAATCGAGTAGGCCTTGACTTTTAACTTAATTTGTAGCAAATTCACGACCATTTGCAGTCAGTGCTTGAAGTTTGTACTCTCGACAGTGTTATAAAAAAAAAAAAAAAAAAAACAAATAATAATAATAATAACAACAAAAAATAATAATAACAGAGAAGAGAGAGAAAACCAAAAAAAAAATATTTATATATATATAAAAAAACGAAGCAAATTCAATGTAATATGGAAGATTATAGAAAAAAAACAGAGGTTTTACGTGAAAAATACAAGGAATATCTGAAACCAATAGTGAGTGCGATTGTCTCGCGATGCTCTTTGCACAATTTGTATTCCGTTTCGCAGGATCCGTTGCGACCGCTTGGTCGTGAGCCCTCCGAGCTGATGCCGCCGCCTGGTAAAAAGGTGCAAACTTGCTTTAATCTAAAGGAAAAGTTTCCCAGGGGCGAAGAGCTGATCAGAACGTTGGGCAAACGGACCATGCTTGATAGGCTTGAGGAATATAATCAATTTAAGGTGCCGCTTCAATGCCCTTGCCAAGCGATTACCCAAGGCGGCGATCCAGCCAGAAAGAAGAAGCGCCCAATTGGCCCAACCAAGGCTAAGAAACCGAAAAAGGAGCCACAGCATATCGTATGCTCCGTTAACAATCTGCCTCCCGCCTTTAGCGATCCACAACCAATATCCCAGCCAACTCCCATTGACACAATAGCTAACCGGTATACAAACGCCAGCCTGCCGACTGCAGCGCCCGTTAGGAACCTCAAAAGTGACAAGGATATAAGCCAGCAGGCCATCAGCAGCCAGCGCAAGTACATACGTGCCAAGGCTGCCGAGATTCAAAAGAAGTCCGTGGCCCTGCAGCAAAAGATGGCCAAGCCGAAGGCTAGCCCAACGCCAAAGAAGGCGCTGCAAAAGAAGCCAACTGTGGACGACAGCTTGGTTGGTGGAGTGAAATTGAAGCGAACTGCTCCAAAGAAGCTGCCCTTGCCGAAGAGGCCAGCTGCAGCAAAGAAGGCATCTGCCTTGAAGAAGCAGCCGAAAAAAACTGCAGCATTGCCTGCAAGCGCATCCCTGCCGGTTACGCCAAGGAAAACGGCTGGCGGCAAATCGAACCAGCCAACTACGCCGGCAAAACAATTCATTCCACAACAGCTGCAGCAGCCAACGACGCCGACAACGGCAAGAAATCCGTGCGGACTGAATGCGCGGCCAACAACTCCGGGGCAAGCATTTGTGCCGCAACAGATGCAACAGATGCCACAGCCAACAACACCGACCACGGCTAGGAGTACGTGTGCTGCCAATTCGATGCCAAATACTCCGGGAAAACCATCTGTTCCACAACAGATGCATCAGTCCACATTTGCGACCATGCGTAGGAACTCTTGCGGTCCCAACTCGATGCCAACCACGCCTGCCCAGCCCTGTATACCGCAGCTGAAGCAGCAACCAGCAACGCCAACAGATGGAATAACAACCAAGCGAACCAACAATCCAACAAGACCGATGATGCCAGCGACTGCAGCCATGGAAGGGCCATTTGTTGGTCAACAATTTGTGCCGCAACAGACGCAGCAACAAACGATTCCGACAATGGCAAGGAACGCTTGCGGTACCAATGCCATGCCAGCATTTGCTGGTCAACCATTTGTGCCACAACAGAAGCCGCAAACCGAGACGCCAATCGACGGAAGCCTGTGTGGCATAACATCCAAGCGTACCAACCCAACGAGGCCGGTGGTGCCAGTGCAGAGGCTGCCACAGTCTACTAATGTCATGGGAGGGAGCTCAAGTGTACTTGGTTCGATGACGCCAACCACGGCCGGGCAACAATTGATGCCACAACAGAAACAGCAATTCGAGACGCCAATGGATGCAAGTTTGTGTGGCATAACATCCAAGCGTACCAACCCAACGAGGCCGGTGGTGCCAGCACAGAAACAAACACAAGTTACTCCGGCCATGGGGGGGAGCTTGAGTGGACGCAATTCGAGGCCAACGATTCCTGGGAAACCATTTGTGCCACAACAGAAACAGCAATTCGAGACGCCAATAGATGCAAGTTTGTGTGGCATAACATCCAAGCGAACCAAGCCAACGAGGCCGGTGGTGCCAGCACAGAAACAAATTCAAGCAACTCCGGCCATGGGAGTGAGCTCAAGTGGACGCAATTCGAAGCCAACGTCTGGGCAACAATATGTTCCACAACAGCTGCAGCAGGCGAACCTAAGAGGGAGCTCGATTTCGATGACAGCCACGGCTGGTAAACAATTCGTTCCACAACAGAAGCCAACACAGCTGACAACGCCATCAGATGGAAGCTTGTCTGAACCAATATCTAAGCGAGCTGGTACAACAAGGAACGTGCTGGCACAAACAACTCTAGCCGTGGGCGAGAAATCAATGCCAACTATTCCTGGACGGTTGTCAGTAGCAACAACTGCCACAATGGGAGGGAAATCATTTGGTGTGGTCAATTCCATGCCAACTTTATCTGGTCAGCATTCTAATTCACAGCAGTCGATGCTTGCAGGAGCTCCGGCAGGCAGCGCATGCGGTGTGGCAGTAAAGCCAAGGAAGCCATTCGTGCCGCTGCAAATGCAGCCCTCGACAATTCCTGACATGGGTGATAGCTTATTGGGTATAACTTCTAAGCCAACTAATCCACGGAGACCGATTGTGCCGCCCAAGAAGCCGATAGCAAACACTCTAAGCGGGAATGAAAATTTATTGGGCATCACATCCAAGCCAACGAATCCAAGGAGGCCGGTTGTGCCGCCCAAGAAACCGATGCCCAACACGCTGAAACTAAATGAAAATATATTGGGCATCACATCGAAGCCAACGAATCCAAGGAGGCCGGTTGTGCCGCCCAAGAAACCGATACCAAACACACTTAACGTCAATGAAAATATGTTAGGAATAACATCGAAGCCAACTAACCCACGGAGGCCGGTTGTGCCTCCGCTAAAGCAGTTGCCAAAAACCTCAACCATGGGCGATAGCTTATTGGGAATAATATCAAAGCCGACCAATCCAAGGAGGCCGGTTGTACCACCACGAAAGCAGCAATCAACCGATCCAAGCAATAGTGGAATTATTGAAATGCCAACTACCACAAGGAGAACGATTGCGTCCCAGCAGCTGCCAAAAGGTCCAACGGTGGGTGGCAATAAAAATGGACTCAATTCGATGCCCGCCTTGGACTGGTTTGATTGAAGCGATGGCAGCCCAATTGCATCAAGTTTGTATAATACTTGAGATGCGTACAGGGATTATATATTAAAGTAAAGTTTATATAAAAGTCTCATCTCATTTTTGATAATATTCATATTCCCTTGCTGTCCGTTTAAGGCGTTATTATTAGCCTTCTTTGCATTTGATTTGCATACGTTTAATTTGTCTCTATTGTTCGCCGTGTTTTCATCGATATTATATTAGCTTTGATTGGCAGCGATATTTGCATATCGATATATTTCGTTTTATCGATAGCGATCGCGTGTCGTGCTGATGCGCTGCGAATGGTCACATTACCATAATACATTTTTTTTTTCTTTTGGAGCTTTTACCTCCTTTTTTGCGCCCAACTCATATTTTTTATATTAGTCACTTTTGGCACTGGCTTTTTTTATTTGTTTGGCAATGTATTGCATTTCTGCTTCCGGCCAAACGACCCGCTGGCGCAGTCGCATAACGTACAAAACGAAGTGCGCTTTTGATTTAAAAAATTCTTAAAATTTGATTGCATTGGCGCTCTTTGCATATGCATAAAATATGTACATATATAGATAAGGGTAAAAGTAAATAGCTAAACTCACCACTTGTAGGCAATTTACCGTTGCTTTGATGCACGCTTTACACTGGAGCATCCATTGTACGCATTAGCCAATTTACCGTTGCTTCGATGCACTCGAGTCTCAAGCATCCATTATATCCATTATATTTGCTTTTATTATGCTGAGATGATCTTTAATCGCTTTCTAACTTCAGCTGCTCGGATTATTTGCCGTATTCCGTTAACCACGCTCTTAAGTCAAATTATAATCGCTTCGCTTATATATTTAACACAGTTTTAACACACTTTTGCCGGTAGAGCTGCCAGATAGTCATATGACACCGAAACCGTTCGAAAAACGTGGCAATTTTCGCAATGCTTGCAAATAAATGTAATATTATTGTAATATAATTTGCGCGTTAAACGCGTGCAAATATAAGAATTGAACACACTTTTACTGAACAAATACAAAAAAAAAAAATCACTTATATGCATGCAAAACGCGCCTATACTGCTGCCCATACCACTGAACACTATAAATGCAACTTTTTTAGTCGATTGTTTGATACTTGTTTTGCGCCATTTTACAAGTGTGACCATGCAAATGAGAGCAAAAAAATCTCAAAAGTCAAAACGCGCGAATGCTTAAAGCGGTGCAGCAACTGGGGCCAGAGCTAATAATTGGGTGGATAATCAGCATAGAGTGTAATTGGATTATACACATATGAGAAAACAAAAATTGTGGTCAGTTTAATTTCGTAATAATTATGTTTTAGTTGTACGTGCTAGTCCTGGTCCGAGCCGACGCTTTCTTGCAGCTCCTCCGGCTCTGCCTTTTGCGCTGCCACATCGACTGCTGCAGCAGCTTCGGCAGCTGCTGCGGCAGCTGCCTCCTTGGCCTTCTCATATTTATTGACCTCAAACTTGCTTAGATCGGCGCCGAGCAGGCGCAAAATGTGCACCGTCTCATCGCGATCGACGTAGGCGCGCAGACTGGAGGTGCCGCGCCAGCCAACAATGAAGAGGGTAAACGCCTCGTCCACATACTTGAGTACGCAGCTGCCAATGCCTGCAAGGATGTGGCAAATGGATTAGCCAGGCGGGTATACAAAATGGGCAATTCAAATGCCTGTCACTTACCCAGCTCCTTGCAGCGCTGCTGTGTTTCCGGCTTCAGTTCAAGCGTTGACGGCGGCTTCGTTGGATCCGTGCAGTTGAGCAGCAGCACCAGATCATCGCGCTCCACCTGAATGCGGCGACTATTGCCAATGAACGCATTCGAGGTCTGCAGGCCCTCCTGGGCCAAGCGATACGGATGCGCCGTATGGCGATTCTCGCAGCGCACAAACGTCTTAACGCCCGTATTGATAATCTTGATGTTCTTTTCATTGTTTAGGACCAGATCGCGTATTGGCTCCGAGCAGTAGTAAATGTTCTTCTTGCGCTCCGTTTGGCAACGGGTGAGCAGGCAGCGTTTGTTGAGCGATTCGTCCAGCTGATAGAACTGCTGAATGGACTCGTAGTCGGCATCCTGTTCGCCAAAGAACACATACGGATCCTCCTTGTAGCCATGCAGGCGACGTCGCTTGCGCTGTGGTCCCCATGGCGTCGATTTCTCCTCCACTGGCTTGCCAGCCGCATCCAGCTTAGGTTCTGGCTGCGGCGCCGTTTCGGCCTGCTGCTGCTGCTGCAGCAAATCCTGCAAATCGTTTTTCTCGAAATTCAATGGTCGTCGCTTCTCGATGACGGCCACAAAGAAGCCACCGCTGTCCTGCAAATGTGGTAGCACACGCATGCACTTTTCCAGGCCAATTGTGGCCAATTCTTTGGCGGGCAGCGGGAACATTGCCGGGCGTATAATCGTGTGCAGCTGCTCGGGCACTTCGTCAAAAGTGCTATAGACGGCATCCACCTCTTTGGTGGCCAGCTTCCAGTTGGTCATGCCCGGTTTGTGTTTAAGGCCAGGCACTAGATGCGCAGCATCGACCAGCTCCAGTGCACCATCCGCATCCTTAATGATGCGCTGCAGCACCGCCTCATTCTCAATGGGATTTAGCGAGCACGTGGAGTAGACCAGACGCCCGCCAACCGCCAACATTTCGGCACCGCGCCGGACAATCCGATACTGGACACCATGCAGATTGTATGCCTGCGCCAGATTCCATTTCATCCAAATATCGGGATTCTTGCGCAGCGTGCCATCGCCCGAGCAGGGCACATCGCACAGTATCTTATCGAACTTGAGTATGGATTTGTTGCCGGTGGCGGCATCGGTCTGCAGCAGATTGGGAAAGAAACTGCTGTCGTGATTGGTCACCAGCAGACAGGGCGAATTGAGCCGTTTGGCCTGATGCACCAGCATATAGCAGCGATTGTTGTCCACATCGTTGGCCAGCACAAAACCCGGCGGTATTTTGTGCTGTTCGGGCGCCGCATGCAGCGCCTCAATGAGCTGCGCTGTCTTTGAACCGGGCGCCGCGCACATGTCCAGCACCTTGTCCGTGGGCTGCACATCGAGCACTAGTGGCGGTATCATGGACACCGCCTCCTGGCGACTTATGCTGCCCGCCTTCGTCTCAACAATGAGAAAGTTGTGCAGCCGAAAGAGCGGCTCCGAGCGACGAATATCCTTGCGTGTCAAATGCAATTGATAGGCCAAGCCATTGGGATACCAGGGCAGGCATAGTGGACGTTCCACCTGTTCCGCGGGCAGCTCGTGCAGCTCAGCGACAGCGCGCACATATTCGGTAAACAGTTGCGTCTTGATTATGTTCAACAGCGCCTTCGCCTCATCCTTGAAGCCTGTCACACGGAATGTGGTGGGCAGATTGTCGCGTATGCTGGCCAAAAACTGTGTCCATTCCTCCTCGTTGGCGCAGATATTCTGCAGGTGATAGTATTTAATGAATGACGCATTATCGCGCTCAATTTCCTTATAGGGCTCGGCACGACGATCGGGACGCTCTGGAGCACCCTGCAAGAACAAACATAAAAAGCGAAAACATTTAAGAAAAATAAGTTTTATCTACACTTTTGATAGTGGCAGCAATTCCCTACATTTGCACGCTTTTGCCGTTTTCTAGCTGCAAACGGATTTTGTTTCTTGCCACGCGCCATTATGCAAATTATTTAATATTCTATTCTCGTTTGCTTTTCAAATATTAAAACAAATTTAATAAATGCTAAATTGCCGTGCGTTGTGTTTATTCAATGAGCCGGCAACACGTGTTTCGCTTCGATCTGGCAGCACTTACATATTATCGAGGATAGCAGATAACGATAGTAAAACTATCGTTCTAGCTTAAATCACGGTTGGCACTTAAAAAAGCACAAAAAAGTTAAAAACAAAAACTATGTATTTTCGATATAACAATGTAAACATTTTAAATATACATTTGAAGAACTTTTTGGATTTCTTTAATTTAAATAAATATGATCACATAAGATCTATACTAATAACAGCCAAGCTTAATTTGTTTGATAGAATTTGAACAATTTTATATATGGACATTTTTGTATTTGTATGGGTTGCATGGATGTAACCATGCAGCAGATATTACAAATAAATTATAGAAATACCAACCGCAGAACAAATTGTATGCATTAACACAACGAAAGCTGCTATAAATCTAAGCTTAGTCCGGCAACACTGCCCATCACTATGCCTACGTGCCTATCGATAGTTCAGGCATTTGCCATCGATAAGCAACTCGTGCCTTATTCAAATCAAAGTACAAACTCAAATATTTCATTATAAAAATTACATTTGTCTTTAAGAGGTAGAAAACAATGGAATCAACAAACACGACAAACAGCAGCCTTGACGACATACAATACCTGCTGCACCTGGAATCCCTCAAACGGTACACAGAAGAGGCCAAGAACATGCAGCGCCAAGTGGAGGAGCATGCGCGCAATTTCGTCGAAGCCAAACGCCAATATCAACGTGAATTTGCGCGTCTTGTCAGCTTAAGCAAAAACATCAATTTGTGCGAGACACTGGACGCGAAGAGCTCACACATACTCGACACCCATGTGTCGAACACAAGTCTCAAACTGTCCGAAATGAGCGCCGCTCTGGCCAACGAAAAGCGTCCCAACGAAATGGACATGCGCATTCTGGAGGAGTGCAAGCTGCAGCTGGAGCGCAAACATCGGCCGCGCATCAAGCTCGCCAAGCATCAGCTCAATGTTGCCAGTAACCGGGAGGCGCTCAAAACGCTGCGCACCACGCTGGACAATGTGGAGAACGGCTTTGAGCTATCCACGCTTGCGACAATGGATCAATTGACAATTGAGCTGCAGCCACCGCAATCTAATTAACAACATTGTATAAATATCTTTAGTACTATTAAAAAAAAAAATTTATAATTATAAGTTCCAAGCTTTAATTTGTTTGTCCATATGCATAACAATTTGTAAATTTAGCTATGTACACATGAATTTATCCATTAAAAAAATCAAAGTAAAAAAACTTAAAATTGTAACAAATTCAAGTGTTTTTTAACACTGTATCGATGCTGTACGTTAAATTTGAAACAATTTATAGATTTGCTATATTTGCTGTTGAGCCAATACAAGCGAGAACCTTTTGAAAATGCTTACAATTCTTTATTAAGTATAATTAATAACTATAAGGAACAAAAAGATAACGAACTTCGTTAGCTGCTAATGCTAATCGAGAATCTGGTCTTAATAATTATAATAATAATAATAATAATGAGATAAATATGTATAAAGAAGTAGGAATGTTGACGATGCAAGCGTTTCAAGCAGCGACAAACATTTATTGTACTTTCGGCGGGGTTAAGTGATTTGTTAATTTATTAATTTAGCAGCAGTTGAGCGCATTCTAGGAAAGAGAAAATGGCAAAGATTAGATATTTCTGTGGCACTTCAGTGACAACTTGACGTGTGGTGACACGCCCAAACGTCAATGCTAGCAATGTAGTTACCACTTGGAGCGCTTCGACCAGTCCTTGGGTGTCCAGTGCAGGCACTTGGAATCGATGCGTATCTTGCGCTTCATCATGGCGCGCTGATGCTGCTCAATGGTCTCCCGTCCGATGCAGACAATATACTGGCCCTTGTAGTAATTGATCAGATTAAGATTCTGCAATGTGGAGATCACATCCTCCTTCTTAATGGAAGTGCACTCGCAGATGTCGCTGTAAGCAATTCGGTTCATACATACATTAGGTGGTTCAAAAATGAAGCTGTTTATATTGAAATATTGTATACTTGATGGTAATGGTGGGCTTCTCGCCGTCCGTGCTGGTGTTCTGGCTAATCAAAATCTCGAGTATGGTCTGTGCCCAGTAGGAGCGATAGGAGAGCAGGCCCAAATCCGAGAGTGGCTTCTCTGGCGAACCGGTTTTACCCTCAAATTTGGACAGCTCGTAGCTAAACTCAATTAAGAGCTTGCCATAGCCCTTGCGCTGATATGGCGGCATAGTCAAAATGCAAGCGACATTATAATCCTCGGTGCTCTCCTTCTCTTTGGAAAAGTAGCCAACAATGTGAAAGCCGCGTGAATCAAACTCGGTCATGATGTAGAACAAAAACGGATCCGTGTCATAGTAGAGGGTCTTGTGGTCCAAAAACAGTTTGGCCAGCAGGCAGAGATTCTGTGCATACACCTTGTTCTTGCGTCCATCGATCTCAAAGAAGGAAATTGTGTTCTTGCGATAGATCTCATTGCCGGGCGGATGGCGTAGATTACATTTGGACAAGTGACGCTCCAGGCATTTGCGACTCTTGCAATACTTTAGACAAAATTCGCATATGTAAATGCAATTCTCTTGGCACAGCTCCTGCGGATATGGTGAGAAGTACCAGGGCTTAATGCGATGACGACCCAATTCGATCATTTCAACATTTTTCATGCGCGTCACCACATCATCCTGATGTGTAACCATGCTGCCCGATTGCCTGGGTGTCGCCATTTTGCCATCCTGCGAGCCATCCTCGTTGCCTGCAGATGTTATTCCTCCTCCGCCGACGCTGCCGGGTGTCGTTGGCAACAGACCCCCATCGCCGGTCACATGCAACGGCGTCTGGGATGTCTGTAATGTCTGTTGCAGCTGCTGCGACTGTTGTTGTTGTTGTTGCTGCTGCTGCTGCTGCTGCTGATGTTGTTGCTGTTGTTGTTGTTGTTGCTGCTGCTGATGCTGTTGATGTTGCTGCTGCAGCGTCTGCAAATGATGTGCACTGTGGCTATGGCCGGAGTTACCGTGCACTTTGCGCCGACGATTGATGCGCTTCTGTAAAGCCGCCGCCAGCACATTGTTGCCATTGACGAGTTCGCTGCCGCCGCCGACGCCGCCCATTGAGCCGACAGAACCAGTTAGTGGTATGCCAGTGCCAATGCCACCAACAACGCCACCGCCAACGCCGCCGAGGCCAGCGTGTTGCGGCTGCGGCGATGTCGGGCGCGAGACACTGCCCGCAAGTGAATGATGACGCTTGGGCGTTGTGACGCCCGTGCTGGTGCCAGTCTGTGGTCCGTCGCGGCGCGGAAACTGCACCTTGCGCGTGTCCAAATCATCCTCGTTGACCCACTCGTCCAGGCGCTTATTAACTGTGCAAATGCGACAAATACAAAAACAGTTAAGGCCCAATTGTTGATCGTTTATCACATTGCCTCCGTTATCCTACTCACAATCGACATAGTGCACATAGAACTGGCGCCTGCCGTCCTGCTCCTTGATGCTGACTATCTCGGCCAGCGGCCAGTCGTCGGTCTTGTGCATGCGCACAGATAGGCGGCAGCCCTCGGTTAATGCAGCCTGGCGTTGGGTATTCAATAATTAGCCACATATTGGAAAATGAAGCAAAATGAAAAACACATATTGAGCTCGGCAACGTTTAGAAAGAGATGGCTACAGTTGCTTGGCTTTTCTATTTGGTTTTCATTTTGATGGCAGTATATCAATATATTTATATATATTTACCGTCGATTCACAGATTGATGCAACATCATCGTCGAATTCATATTTGTTCTTCATTTTGTTGTTGTGTTTATGTAAATTGCCGCTTTAATTTCATTTATCCGTAGCACGTCTGTTTCAGTTGTTGGTCGCAAATTGAGAAGTATCAAAATATCGCATGTTATCGATACTTCAATTGGTCTCTGTTAATTTAAGAAACATGTCTGCTAGTGCCAGCTATTGGACCAACTTAGTCCTTAAAAATAGGTGTTAACGTCTTTATCGATGCGATATCGATACTACAGACATTATCAAAAAGTTAAATGGAATTCAGTTAATAAATTCAGTTTTACTTAAATCATTAAAGCCATTTCAATCTGTTAAAAACAGCTAATTAGCGCAAAATTGAGTCGAGCAAATGTAAACGGATAAAAGCCCAGTGTTGTATTTCACAATGTAATCGTACAAGTATTCGATTACCTCATAGTTGCCAATAGTGCTGCGAAAGACATGCGAAAGTGTTGTAAAGCAAAACAACTGCGCTCTAAAGTGTTCGTTCTTTTCAGAATTTTTACGTTTATGTGTAATTTAACACAAATATTAAACTTGTGCATTTACAATAATGATATATAATGCATTGTTAACGTTAATAGTTATTGTGTAAGCTTACACCAGCCCTTCTAAACCAACATGTCGTTTTTTCGCTATGTGTAAGAGAAGGTCAGAAAAATGTACATACATATGTGTAGTGGAAGGTGCATAAGCAAGTGCGTGTGCGTGTGCGTGTATGTGTGTGTGCATTGCGTATGTATAAAAAATAAAACAAATCGCTAAGCGATTAACAACAAATTAAAAGTGCAAAGTAATCACTGTTAGTACATATATGAGCTTATATGTGTATGTACATGTATATATGAATATGTGTGTGTCTATACATATATATCAAAATATATATGCATGCGTGTGCGAGCGCGCATCGTAGCTGTTCATGCTAATAGAACGTATTTGTAAATTGCTACAACAACAAAAACTGTGTGGCAAAATGACGTGTTTGCGCTAGTGTTGCCACTGACAACAGAATGCCAGGGCTGCCAACGCGTGTGCACAACCAACCTCTAAGCGGCTAATGCCTATTTTTCCTGTCAGCATATATTTTGTTGTGGAAGTAAATTAATAGCATATCAAAGAGTACAACGCATTTTCGATAATTAAATCATCCACAACGGTGCGTTCGGTGTGTGCGTGTGTGTGTGCCAAAAATAACATTGCCAACTAGATATGAGCGTATGTAAATTTCGGTTTGCAACTAGAGATGAGCGCATGTGAATATCGCCCATCTCTATTTGGCAGCACTGCGCGGCTTGGTAAAGCAAATGATTTTTTTTTTTTTGACAAGTCGCATTTCTTTTATTTAATTTTTTTGCATCAATGTTTTTTAAGTGTAAACTGTAGACTCGGTTTCGGCAATGTGAGAGTGTTCAATCAAATGGTAGTGACAACGTTGCTCCGCTAAAAAGCAATTTAACTGGTTGCATTCGATTGACGGATTGAGAGCTGCACTAAAGCGAAAAAAATCAACAATTTAACAAACAAAAAAATATATATATATGAGAAAAAAAAGCGAAAAATCAGCAAAAACACAACAGCTACAGTGCGTAGGCAACGGTATTTGCACAGCATTAAGTTTTGTTAGAACAACAAACAACAACAATTCTACAGTTCATTTGCGTTCGCAAATAAACAATAGCGTGCGATTGTGAGCGTGCGGTGAGAGCAAAAAAAAAAAATTACGCCAGACACAAAACAACGTGAATACTGGAATCGGGCAACGCTTAAGGACAACAAGTAGTGTGAGGAGAAGAGCAAGCTTAACAGTATTAACGGTGCCCTTTTGGGTGTCAGCGGCTGCGGCGTTAACACGCGCGGCGGCCTTGACAGCTGTTTTTGTAGGACAACGGGATCTGCAGCGTATATCTCACATCCATTTTCGGGAACCTTGTTGGTAAGTAACTGTTAACTATGTTTGTATGCGCGTGTGTCTGTGTGTGTGTGTGGGATAAAGAGAGAGAGAGAGAGAGAGTAAGCTTATGACGCAGTTACGCTCTCTTTCTCTTAATATATATATATGTATATTGTATATATATATGTACATATTTATATGCATACATACCTACATAAATATGTGTATATTTTTGCCAGGTTCTGTTTTGGAAGCTGCCGAACTGCCAATTGTGCGTATTTGTAATTTTAATGGCATTTCGTTGTTTGTTATATGCCACAAAAGATGAACAATGAACAAATTGGTGTTTCATCAATATCATCAACAACCTTATCATCCGCAACATCCACAACTGCTGCTGGCAATAGCAGCGCAGCTGCTGCGCAACTCATCAAGGCCATATCAACAGGCGCCGCAACTGCCAACGCCAACGGCAACGCCACCGCCACTGGCACCGGCAACGCCAAAGATAAAGACAAAGACACAAATATTGCCACATTGGTAACAAAAATCCAAGCTATAATACCCGATACGCCCATCGTTTCAATTGCCGCTGGCACGTTGAGTGAGAGCACCTCAACAACCACATCCACTAAGACGACACCGACGCCCTATTTCCAGGAGCAGCTAACCACCTTAATGTCGCACAATGTAAAGCTGGAGCAGCGTCCGGCCAACGACAGCAGCAACAGCAACAGCAACAGCTATGACCTGTCCAATAAAAATAATAACAGTAGTCAATCAGCCTCTGTGCTTACCCAAAATCATGTGCCGGCCGGTGATAAGAAAAGCACTAACACTAACACTAACAGCAACAACAGCAACAACAACAACGCTGCCGGCAGCAGCACCAACAGCAGCATTGCGAACGCAGCGCATCACAATTTGAATTTAACACCGCTGCTAAGCAAATCTGGCCAACCAGCACCCGAGGTGATTGCTGCCGCAACTGCGCTGCATCAGCGACGCGGTGCTACCACCAAAGGCAAGACCCAAGATGACCAAAATGTGGGCAAGCGTCAGAAGAATAAAAAGGTGAGTTTGTCTATAATTCACCATTCCCTTCCCCACCATAGCTAGCAACCGTTGTGTTGAGTAACTGCGTTAATTAGCAATTCCTTATTTTCTAGTAATAACATAATTTTTATATTGATATACGTATATGTATATGTATTTGCTTGCATTGTCCGCGCTTTAAATGTCCATTTCATTTGATCATTGTTGTTGCCTTGTTTTTCTGAACCTAACTTAATTTCTTTTACGTTCCTTTTCTTAGATTGATTTTTATTTTATTCTATTCAATTCCACAAGTATTTCTCTTTTTGTCATTCATACTATGTGGTGTGTGTGCGTGTGGGTGTGTGTGTGTGCGTTGCGGTCTGGCCGTCTTCAGCGGACATCGCAACAATTATTTTGCACACACAACACTCACATGTATGGTACATGTGTGACGCACACATGCACATACGCATGTGTATGCCCTGAATGTGGTCGCACGTCATATCAGTGTTTTTGAATGATTTTCCAATTACATACATATCCAATAAAAATCGCACAAACATTCTATAAATATCAACAGAGCTGAAACAAACATACATACCTACACGCATATGCGTCATACTTATGTATGTTAGACCACATACATATACATATGAACATGCATGTATGTAGTATATAGAATATTCCTTAAAATATGATTTTTTTTTTTTTTCAATTACTGCCCATACAAAAATTGATTAACTCTTAATTCAATTAATATTCATATACAATTCAATTTAATGTCGATGTTGAGCTGCTGCTGAAAGCGTCATTTTTAAAGTGCTTAACAACGTGTCATTTGCAAGTGTTGCGAGTTACGAAAGAAAAACCGTTACTTTAGCTCAGTCAGTCTGCAGCTATACATAACAAAAATAAAACGAGAAAGGGAGCGCGTTGGTATGAGCGTTGTCATTTCACTCCCGCTCACGTTTAGCGAAATGTGCCTGGACAGATGCCGTTATCTGACAGACGCCATAACTCCTTCCATCATAGGCTTGCACAACACACACGCACACGTGCAGGCCGCGCTTCACATACATCCATGCATGCATACATACATACATATATATATATATTTAGATTATGTGTGCGTGTGCATGTGTGTGCGGTGTTTAAGCAAAATTGCAGATCGGCGGGCCGAACGTGTCTTTAAAACGTGTCTCTTAAATTTGATTTATTTTAATATTATATGCATATAATTTTTTTTTTATAGTTGTCGTTGTTGTTTTAATTCATACATATATTCTAAATACGATTTGAATATGTTCTTGATTTCGTTAATGGTAGCATTAGGCAAACCACAGTTCTATTAACTTATCGAAGAACTTTTTGTTCTGTGGCGCCGCCGTCGTCGCTGACGTCGCCGCCGACGCATTTAACTTAACCACACGCATTAAATTGTTTTTATTTAGTTTATTTATTTATTGCACTTGTGTGCTTGTGACTTGAGCCTGACATATCTAAAAACGTATATATAAATATAATACATGCATGTGTGTATGTGTGCCTGTTTGTATGTATAAATATAAAAATCGAAGCCAAGTGCGTTGCATGTGTCAGAATTATTGACCAAGGCACCGTGGCAAGTCAAGCTGAAGCTGAAGCTGAAGCTGAAGCTGATGTAAGCCCAGTTGCATGCCAACAATTCCAGGTAAATCGAACTCGCAACAGCCCTCACAATCCCTCACAGCCAAAAACCGCCCACACTTTACGCAAATGCCGTGAGCCAAAAGGTTTCGTTAGATGAAAACCAAAATGTTAGGCGCAGTTGCGTTTTTGAGGTTAAAGACAAACACACGCAGCTCCTTGACTCGGCGGACATATCATTTTCTCAGCTCTCTGATAGCAAGACCAATTTTCTTGAATTAAAATATATAAAAAAAAAAAAAAAAAAATTAAAAAAAATTAAAAATAAATAAAGAACAAACAAAAAAAAAAAATAATTTAAAAACTTACAGACAAAGTACGATGCTTGGGAGGATAGCGAAATAAATGATCTCGACGACGCATCATTAAAGAAACTGCTTGAGGAGGCCTATTGGTATCGCAATCCGGGCGACAGAAAAAACAAAAGTGAGCGTTTTCTGGTAAGTTAATCTTCTTTTTGGCCTCAATCTGTGCCGATAATATCTGTGCATTAGATTGTTATAATTTTTTATTTGTTTTTTTTTTCCTTTATTTTGCCTTTTTTTTTAATGTTTCACAGCAAATGCTCAAAAAGGCTGAGTACGACGAGGCAAACTCTTATCGTGCGATTAAAACCTGTCTAACACGCAATACGTCCGCATCATCATCAACGTCCAGCGGCTATTACGGCCACAGCAGCAGCGTCGGTAGCGGCAGCAATTTTGGAGCGCACAATAGCAGCAGCAGTTATCATACAAATCATCGGACTGCGTCGCAACGTCATAAGCAGGGCGGCTCTTTGCAGGATTTGGTCGAGGCAACGCATCGCAGCGAGCTGGCAACAACGTCATCGGCGGCGGCAGCAGCAGCAGCAACCCAACGTTTCAACTGTGATTATCAGCTTATTGGCGCCAGTAGCAGCAGTGGTGGCAACAGCAACACCCGCGCCAATCGACGTCAGCAGCACAACAACAGCAGCAACAGCAACAGCAACAACCAAAACTCCGCCGTTGTCGGCAAGAAATCGTTGAAGAACAACAACAGCAACAGCTCATCCGTATCAGTGCGACAACGCGAAGGCGGCAGCTTGCCAAGCAGCGTTAATTTTGAGATGGCCAATATGGATGGCAAGCAAAAGTTAGCCATTGGCGATGAGGGCGTGGCAGGCAATGCCAATCCCAATCCCAATCCGAATCCGAATACCGTCAATGCTTCTACTAGCAAGGGCAATCGCAACAACACCGGGAGCAGCAGCAGCAGCTTGCCCAGTCAATTGAATGAAACTGGGAATACCGTTATTGAGTTCGATGTGGATGGCAATGGGGATCGGGATGCTGCTGCTGCTGATGTCGGCGGTGCTATCGGCGGCGGTGCTATCGGCGGTGGTGCTATCGGCGGTGGTGCTATCGGCGGTGGTGCCATCGGCGGCGGCGACGGTGGCGGCGCTTTGACAGCCAGCCAACTATTTGATGAAGCGTTGGAGGTAAGGGATGGCACTGTAGAGATGTGGGACATCAACTTGGATCAGACACTTTGGGATATGATCAATTATTCGCAAGCATATTCGAATGCCGAAGACGAACACTTGCTTAATGATTCATCTAAATTGCAGGCGGTAAGACGCGCCTCTATTCACGCGTATCCATTCATCTGATCAATATAATTAAACAATGAAACATCCCATTAACCAAGCGCCCAACCCGTATCCCAACGAAAACCATTTGTTTAGCTTGTCCGTTGTCACTATTAATAGATCATGTGTTTTATGTTCGTTGTACATTATATCCTGTATATATGTATATATATATATATATATGTGTGTGCGTGTGTGTGTGTCAATCATGTATTTCTCTTAATGTAAGATGTGACTCTAAAGAGTCGATAGTCATTAATTATATAAAACGATTATTAGGCAGAGAGTAGCATATATTCAGTAAGAAATTAAGAAAAATAATGTTAAAACAGTTGGTTAATATTGTAAATGGATAGGATAGTTCAGAAACAAGCAGCTGTAAATTGATTTTGAATTCGATGCTCGCTCATGTCTCATGTCATAAAAACAGAACCTAACACTCAAAATCCCGTTTGCAGTCACATTAGAATCACACAATTCCCATCTCCACTCTCGCTCTCACTTTTATATTGTTAATTTGCATACATCGCCATCTCTGTCTCTGTCTATTCTAAGTACTCTTCTAATCGCTGTTATCGTTCATTGTACTCGTCTCTCATCTCGTCGCTCGATATTCGCTATTCCCCTCACTCGTTACGTTTTTGTTTTCTCTCTTTTTTTTTCCATTACATTTACTCGCATCAATCATGAAAGCAGTGTGGAGAATCGGTTTTAGAATTCGGAACAAGTTGAAGCATAATATCGCTGCAACATAATTTAATTGAGAATTGACAAATATGTATATATGTAGCTGTAACTGTATTTATTCTTCCAATTTATTTTTAAACAACATTTTTAATTTATTACAACTCTTTTAATTGCACGCAACAACAAACAAAGGCCCGTAACGATAAGGGAATGCCGAATGTGGCTGCCAACCAGGCCATGCCTCTTAAATGTGAGAATCAACTGGACATTCTCAAGCAGCAGCAGCAGCAGCAACAACAAGAACAACAACAACAGCAGCAGCAGCAGCCCGATGGCAAGGATTTGGGCCCTGTCAAAGAGTTCCTAATCGATGATCCACTTCACTTTTCGATGCTGGAGACATCCGCTAAGAATCAGAAATTGGAGCAGCAACAACTGCCACTACCGCAGTATCCGCCAGCATTGGCCAGTGCTGTAGCTAGCGGACAATTTACTCTACCGTTGGGCGAACAGAAGCGCAAAGTTGACGCTGGCTATGTATCTCTCAATGATAGCTACACGGCCTGCTCGTCCGTGTTTGGCTTGGCTGGCAACTTTTCATCGGGCAGCAAGAGTTCATCCAAGGGCTCTGGCGGCGGCAACAGCGCTGAGCTATTTGGTGGCGCTGATCTACGTCCGGCTAAGATTGGACGCATGATGACCGCAGCTGCCGCTGCAGCTGTCGTCGCCTCTCACGGCGCCAAGGCCACAACGGTAAGTGAGCAGGAGTTGGCGCTCGACTCAAAATTTAAAGAATTGTAACTTAATTAACCTCTATGTGTATTAAAAATTCATGTATTCAAACAAACAAAAAAAAAAAAAAAAAAAAAAACTGGGCTAGGAATGGTTTTGTGTGCAATTGTTGTATATAACAAGACAGAATGAAGCATTTACGATCCTATTACAGAATCTAGATTCATGCACAGCCGGGTTCATCTATCCATGTCCGTTCGTTCTTCTGTCTATTTCTTCCCCCACACCCCCCCCCCCCCCCCACACAGAGAGACAATTGGAGCCAAGGACTGGGATGGTCGGACATCAAATCGATTTTTCGATGCCTTGATCTTTGATCTTTTGCCTTACTTCTTATTGGTTTTTGGTTTTTGGTTAAATTTCTGCAGCACGAGAATAAAATTTGGTCAACGACGGGCAGCATAAAATGCGTACTTTTAAGTAATATTTGGGTTTGAAATTATCTGGTTAAACAAAATTAATATTTGGTGAAACTTTGATTGGATTCTAGTCGGAAACGGGCTTGAAATTGGGCATAAAATTGCTAGAAACAAACTTGACAGTTGATATTCGGCATAAACATGAGTTTCTAAGCCAAAAAGCGCGCTGTATTGCAATGATAAATAGTTGTGGCTTATTAATTACAATTTACTTGTAATTAGTTTGTTTTACGTTGGGCAGAACTTAACAAGATGTTCTTTATGTAAACAACTTGCTAATTCTCGCTTATTTCAACATTTGTTTAGCAATACCTACGCCAAGTTGTACTCGGCTTTCGATTCAATCGGTCTCTCATCGCATAGGGTTCGATTGCAATAAATAAATGTTTGATTGGCTTGATGGAAAAAATCGAAGTTTGTCTGGCAGAATCTATGCGTGCTAGTTGGCAAAAACGAAATGTTACGTATAGCTGAGATGGAAACATGGTTCTGCTCAGCAGATGGTCTTGGCAAGTACACGAAGGAACGGCTATTTGTGGACAGACAGTTGAACAGAGATTGAACACCTTTGTAGGCAGAGGGCTTGGATGGGATTCGATATGAAAGCTTTATTTCACGATTGTTCATATTAAAGGAACCATATGATGTGGCACTTACGGATAGGTTGGGAGAATGGGCTGGTAAAGCTTTTTTTGTGCAAAAGATAAGTGGACGGATTGTGTGTAGAGCTAGCATATAGCAGGTGTTCTAATATACCGATATAGATTTAATTTTCGCTTATGTATGGAGTGCATAGGTAAAGCTGTAAATGATAGATATTGTCAGGTGGCTAGCATGTAACTGCAACATGATATAGTCGTTCGATCCGGCTGATTATGGCCTATGCAAACATTTCCCAAGACACTAGTTCCCATGGCAGATAGATGGCTATATAGACTCGGCTGTTGCTATGGATCAAGAATAACTTTTTGTTTGTTCATCTATATATACTTCATGCACTAAACATTTGGCTGACAGTTTTATAATATATATATATATATATATATATTGCTATATTGAATGTCATACCTGTTACACACACTGCGCAACAAGCTCTTCCCTTCATATGTGTACAAACAGCCTTTGTATTGAGCTAAGACTGTTTATTGTAGGGTATTGCCGGGCAGGCATGTGGTTGACAGCACGCATTCAAGTAACAACAGGGTTGCATTCGATAAGAAACTGTTGATTTTGACGTGCAACTGTCAAACGTGTAAATACGCGAATCGGATGACAGAATTCATTTGAAAGCCACAAACGGAGAGTGAACAACACACAATAAGTCGTACAATTGTCAAAGACATAGGGCATCAAATAGCCAATCAGTTTGTAATATAATGAGAAATTGGGTATTTTGAACACAAATGAAAGTGAAACGTTTGAAGCGATGTAATAACGCACAGATCTCCATGTTTAAGCTGATGGTTAGTGCACGTTATTGTTGCAACATTTGCATTAGCCGAGCGAGAACTCTATGCAACTTGTGGCATTAAGTAAATTATGTTTTCTTTTTTTGGTTTTATTCTAGCGCCAGTTTGATGAGAACGGTAACGCGTTGGGCGATGGCTATGCCGCTGGCAATGGTACTGGCAGCAGCAACAACAACAATAATAACAGCAGCAGCAGCAGCAGCAGCAACAACAACAACAACAGCAATGGCAACGGCAACAACAACAACACCAGTGGCGGCTCCTCCTTCACAACGCTTATCACAACCACCTTGGGCAGCGGCGGTGGCAGCGCATTGACAGCCCCGCTCCAGCAGCAACATCATCAACAACATCAACAACATCAACAACAACAACAACAACATCATCAACAACAGCAACAACAACAACAACAGCAGCAGCAGCAGCGCTCAAATAGCGTATCCACATTGCTCACAACTGGCGGCAATACAACAACAACAGCCATGGCTGCTGCCGCAGTGGCCGCATCCTTTAACAGCCAATTGCAGCAGGTGCCAGGCTCTGCTGCTGCTGTAGCGCCGCCACAGCCGCCGACGAAGCTCAAATCGAAAAAGAAGTCACAGCAGGAGCGTAACACGACCACCGTGGATGTGGAATCGGTGGCCGGTTATCGTGGCAAGGATCCCGTTGAGCAGCTGGTCAAATACATTGAAAACGATGGCTCGGCGTGCGCGCAACAGCAACAGCAACAACAGCAGCAGCAAAAGAAAAAGGAGCGCAAGAAACAGAATAAGCTTAAGAAATGCAACTCGCTGGAGGAGTTGCGCAGCTGCGCCAAAATGGAAGTCGATGAACTGAAGCGTCAGTCGGCCACCACCGAAATGATGCGCAACAAAAAGGGGGGCAAGCACAATTCCGCCTCTGTTGCGGACATCAACAAGAATTGCAACAAGGAGCAACAGCAGCAGCAGCAGCAACAGCAGCAACAACAACAGCAACAACAACCAACAGCACAACAATCGCAACAGACAGCGGCGCCGCGCAAAAGCGAGCGTCGCTCCTGGGGCACCGAAGAGTTGCAGTATTTGGGCGAGACGCCGCCCGCATTGAATGATGCCAAGCTGAATGACAGCGGCAACAGCAGTGCCAGCAACAATTGTGGCGATACGCCCTCCTCATCACAGCTGGGCGCAGCTGGAGCCGCAGCCGTAGCCGTAGCCGCAGCGGGCACTTTGCCAGCGCTGGAATTGCCAACGCTGGCGCGCATGTCCGAAATGGAGGCGCTGAATACGGTGCTTAGCGAAACGGCTGAATTTCATGTGGTCACCAAAAAGAAGAAACCAAAGAAACAGCGCGCCGTCACCATGGATGATGCGGCCGTTGCGGCAGCGGCAACAACTGGCGGCAATTTGCAGCGCATGCAACAGATAACCAAATCAGCATCGTCCAACATGATGTCACAGCGTTTGCGCAGCAACATGGATTACTACAACAATAGCAGCAGCAGCAGCAACAACAACAGCAACAACAACAACTACTATGCAGCACATGCCAGCTATAGCAACAACAGCAACAAGCAACAGCAACAACAACAACAACAACAACAACAAGCGCAACAACAACATGCTGCCACATCGTCAGCCACAGCCGCTGCAACTGCAACTGCAGCTGCTGCTGCAGCAGCAGCTGTTGTTGCTGGCGGCACGCAGGATAATTCGCGTCGCAAGTCCACGTCGTCTATGCCGCCCTCGGAGAAATCCGATTCAAGTGATCTCGACTCGGTGCACTCGCTGCCCATACAAACCGTCAAAAAGAAGAGCAACAACAAGCGCGTCGCCGTTCAGGCCAAGCATAACAACAACAACAACAACAACAATAACAGTAACAAAAATAATAACAACAACAATAACAATTCATCGGCACCCATTTCATATGCGGACATTGCGCGCAACAAGCGTGAGCAGCTGGCCCACGGTCATGGCGAGGACAGCGATGCTGGTGGCGATGCACAAGGTCCGTTGACGCCGCAATCGCTGCTGCTGATACAGGACAACAAGCTCAAGGGTAAGTCCAAGCAGCGTCCCGATTTTCCAGAGCTTCCGGGCGCCATGGCTGCAACAATAACAACAGCAACAGCCACAGCAACAGCAACTGGCGCTGCCGCAGCCGCAGCGCTCATTAGCTATTCGCAGAGCCTCAACAAAACGGCTGCGCCCAGCGACATGGAGGGCAACAACAGTCAGGAACAGCAGCACCAGCAGCAGGCAACTGCTGTTGCCACTGGCACGCCCGCAGCAACAGTTGCAGCGGCAGCAACAACCACAACAGCAGCTGCGGCGGCAGGAACAACTGCCGGCAGCACCTCGAATCTGACAATAGCAGGCAGTGGCGCCACAGCGCCGCCAGCACTGCAAAAGTCTAAAAGCGTGGAGCACGATGCCAGCAGCTATAGCTTCAACAGCAGCAATCTGGATCTGCAGTATCCAGCGCTGGAGAAGACAGTGAAGCGGCACAGCCTCAATCATGTACCGCTGGCGGCCAATGTAGCCACTGGCTATAACTTTGCAGCAGCTGCCAAGCAGCAGCAACAGCAGTCGGATGCAAAATGCAGCATGGAAATGACACCGAGTGCAGCAGCAGGAGTAGCAGCTGCAGCAACTACCTCAGGCAAGGCCAAGTGCAAGCCAAAGGAGCTGTCACCCAGCAGCAGCAACAGCAGCAGCAGCAAGAATAAGGAGAAATTCCTTAGCCAGAAGCCTAGTCAGAGTCAGGATGAGACATGTTCGCCATCGGCGCTGCCCGTTAGCTTCAATTTGGCCAGTGGCCACAGTGGCGGCACCATTACCTTCAAGGCAACAGCGGCCACACAGACGGAGGGCGCCAAGAAGCATAGCGGCGGCACTGCAGCAGCTGCTGTGCAGACCACATTGCCGCCGGTGGGCAATAGACCCGCTGTGATTATACTCAACGATGATCGCGACTCGAAGCTGGGCAGGCTCAACAACGAGTTCATCTTTGGCGATTTCAATGAGGACGAACTGAAGCTCTTTGACGATGCCAGCGACAAGGAGTCCAACGAAAAGCAACAGCCTGAACAGCAACTGTTGCAGCTGGACAAGGAGCAACAGACGACACCAACAACGGCATCAACAGCAACCGCTACCGATCCCCCCAGTTGTGAGCAACAGCAACTGCAGTTGCTACTCAATGATTCGGGCACTGCCTCCGATGTGGTCAACAGTTCGGCCTGCATGGATCTGCTGCTTATCTCAGGGCAGGCGGCACAGTCATCGCCCAATGCAGCTATTAACAACAGCACCAACAGCTGCAACAACACCAGCAGCAGCAGCAGCAGCAACAACAACAACAGCAACAGCAACAACAGCAACAACATCAATTCATCAACATCCTCAACACCATCATCGTCCGCCTCGTGCTCCACCTCGGCCTCCTCATCGACGCTGAGCAGCAGCATTGGCAATGGCAACGGCAATGGCGGCGGTGCCGCCAATCAGTCCAACGATAGCGGCATCTATGGCGCTGCCAACATATCCAATACCATTGCCGCCGCCGCTGCCATCAAGGATCAGGTGAATCATTTTCTCAGCAAGGCCAGCGCCAGCGCCAGTGCCAGCAGCAACAGTCACAGCCATAGTCATAGCAACAGCAGCAGTTGCAGCAGCTGCCACGATGAGCCGCTGCCCATGCAGCAGCTGGAGACGTGCAACGATATCGAGACGGCAATTATAGCGGCCGCACGTGCTGCTGCTGCCGCCGCCTCTTCGCGCAGTGCCAGCTGCAGTCGCAGCAATTCGCTGGAGCAGCCGCCAGCCACACAAATGGGCGCTGCCAAAACCAAATCTCGACCAGCTCTCTACACGAACTACGGCAATGCCGACAATCCAGCTGCCCATGATCATAATGATGATGATGATGACGTTGATAACGATGATGATGATCATGATGATGATGATGATGATGATGATGATGAAGAGGAGCAGCTGCATGAGCTCAGCTTTATGTCCGATCTCAAATCGGATTTTGTGGCAACCGCGCCGCTGCCACTGATGCCGACACCACCGACGCGCCAATCTCTCATGTCCAACACGGAGCTCATTGTGGACTACATCAGCAGCTGTAAGTCGACCAGAAAAGAAACGAGAGAAATAAGTGTATACATTTATATAAGTTGCATGTGTTAGCTGCTCCATTGCTGTTCGATGCTTTAGCGATAACGATATTTATCGCTATTTATCGATATCTAAAACTGATTTCCTTAAATTTCCTTGTAAAGCATAGAAATTGTTCTCGAACCTAAAATGTAAACTAGATACAGATTGGAATCAATGTAGCAGGCGGACCTACAGATCTTTGGTTCCTATAGGCGTATGCTTTTATCGATAAATTTAGGAAACACGGCGCAACGTAAGGAATTTAAAAAATAACTTATATTTTTATTCACGTATCGCATTAGGAGTTTAGAAGAGCTTCCCTCCTTCCATTGCCTGAGCAGAGCTTGTTTGTTTCAAATTATCGATAACTATTCTTGTAATCGATAAAAAAGGCGATATCGAAATTCGGTTTTTACATGGTTTATTAGACATAACTCGAAGATTATTAGAGCTTTTAAATATGGTTTTATATGATCAAAGTAAAAGCAAGAATTCAACTGACGCACTTAACTCTCGCTTTCTCTTTCATTTCGCACGACCCCTGTTTAGCCTGGAATGCCATAGTCAATAGCAAGTACGTGACCTTCTACAATGAGCAGGAGGAGCAGCAACAGGAAACTTAAGGAATGGATTCAACATGTTCGGCATTCAAACCCCCGATGCCGCTCGTCGTCCTCTGCCGTTGCACTTCTGCTGCAATTTAAATTGGAGAAAGGAAAACAGGAGAGAAAAAAAAAAAACACACACACACACATATACAGGAGAAAAATGAAAGAAATGAAACACGGAAAACTGTAAACAAAAGCTATTGCAAAAACACACAAAATTTTATATTATGTTGCATGGTTAATTGTTGAATCTTTATTTATGTGGTGTGCTGTCTATTGTTAACACACAATTGCACACACACACGCACACACGAATCACATCTACCAGCTAGACCTACACACATATATAAACATATGCATATAATTATATATATACCTGTATGTATATATATATATGTATATATATATATGTTTATATTTGCTATAACAATACGCTTTTTAAGCTAATGTAATCTTTAATTGTACCAACTATTGTTGAACTATATTGATCACCATTGGAAGCCTCACAGATTATCAATAAACAAAAACAAAACAACAATAATATTAACAAGTAACAACAACAACAACAACAGAGACACCAATTCAAGTCAGGAAAGCGCTTAGGGTTCAGTTTTTTTTTGTTTCTTTTTTGTTTTTTTTTTAGGCCAAAAGTTAAGGTTCCAACAAGTTGGCCAGTTAATTGCATAAAATGTCCTCTATATATATATATATAAATATATATATATATAACTTATTTAAAACTAAATCTAAATGTAAGACAACAACAATAACAAATTGAATTTTGTTATATTTTCTAGTTTTAACCGAAAGCATAAAACTATTTATTTAGATATATAGGAACTAGTTTATATATATACGTATATATATGTGCATATACATATATATATATATATATGAAAAAAAAAAAATTAAATTTGAATATTTTCAAGCGCATTTTGAAAAAAAAACATTAATTTTTGTTAGAAAGCTCTAGGATTTTTTTTTTTTTTTATTGTTTCTGTTTTAATTATTGTCAAAATATATATGCATAAATATTAAAATTCGTTAGAGAGCTTAAGAAATACATTTAAAAAAAAAGGAGAAGAAAAATAACTATTTGTATGCCAGGAAAATCTAGTTTCTTTAGGCTAAACGAAAAAAAGTCAAAGAAAAAAAGAAGAAATATTCAAGAAACACTCAGAAAATGATGAATGTATGTAAATACGAAAAGAAATTTGCGTTTAATATGTATTTAAAGAATTTGATATGTGTATAAAAGAAATATATATATATATCTATATGAATTTATATATACAATATATATATATAAACAGAAATATGTTTACATAGCTATGTAAGCAGGCAGCCATAAGCCTAAAGAGGAGACGCGTGTACTATGCTTGAACCCGTACTTGAACGAAGTAAAGCCAACTACCCGAACCCTCAGCCCAGAAATGGGATAAAAATCAGTAAAAAAATTTAAATATAAACATAGTTTACAGGTCAAAGCAAAACAAAACAAAAACAAAAAAACACATAAATCAAAGCATAGGCACTTTAAGAAGCAACTATATTATTAAAATACTTTTTTTTTTATAAATATACATATATAAATACATATATAATTATATATATATATAAATATATATATTTATATATATATATATATATATATATATACACCTATATACGCATACCTACATAAATATAAAAGATAAAATATAAAAATTAAAAAACAAAAAAAAAAACAAAAACGAAACGTTTATCGTTTTAAAATCATGTAAAATGTAAGCAAAACTAAATGAGAAAATTGAAACTTACATTTAAAAAATTATTTAAAACACTTAATAAATAAACAAAACACATTTCAAATAAATAATTAAGTCAATACATTTCAAACAAATTAAATTAATATTAAATAAAAAGAAAAAAGAAAACACATCAAAACTTAAATGCGCATAAATAATGTTTCAATTTTTCGATTAGCATGTACGAAAATTCATCAAACTTAAAGAAAACCAAACATAAAAACAAAACCTCATTACTTTTGTATTCGATGGCGTGCTATTTAATTGGACAAGCCTAGTAAAATGCTAGCAAAAAAAAAAAAATGAAAAACTCCAAAAAAAAAAACTTAACCTCAAAAAGAGGAAACATAACCTCGAAAAAAAAACAAAAACAACTGCATAGGCACATAGCGCTGTCTCTTTCATTTGCATGCCAGCAGCTCGCAGCTAACCTCAAAATAAGCGTCAAGTAACCGAAAGAAAGACAGAAAGCAGTTGCAAAAAAAAAACGTATAAAAAAAAACAACTAACATAATGTAGCTATGTGCTAAACTATATAAATTAAATGTTTCTTATGTGCGTGTATTTATGTAATATATATATAAAAAAAATATATACTTATATTAACTAATCTAGATGTGGTAGTTTTGTGCGTATGTATAGTCCCACAACATATTACACACATCCAAACAAATTACTATAGTCTGTCTGTGCCGCGTGAAAGAGTGTGCGTGCGTGTGTGTGCGTGTGACCATGTTGCGATATCCCGTTCGAAAAAAAAAACAACAAAGAACAAGTGTGCGAGATCGAGCAGCTAATTGTGCGCGAAAGCACGCACAAAAGCTAAACGCTATGTCACGCCATATATACAGGGCTGTATTTCCTGATATTACCAAATAGTTCATGGATTATATTCAATTAATATTTATGTGGCTCGAGCTTGGAGTTTGGCAGCTGTTCGCTAACAGACCAAAGTAGCATTATATAGATATATATATATATATATATATATATATATATCAACTTGAATGTCGTACAATTATTCAATTTGAATTGAATTCTTTTTCTATTTTCGATTTGTTTTTGTTATAAACATAAGTTCTATATATCCGTCTGGTGTGCACTTGTTGGTTGAGAGAGAGAGAGAGAGAGAGAGAGAGCGAGAGAGTGAGAGAGCGAGAGAGAGAAATAAAAATATGATCATATAAACTAACTAAAAACTAAGTTAATTGCTAGCTAAACACAGAGAAAACAAATACGAATATAAATCAATGTAATAATTTAAATAAATTAACCAACTTGGCGTGAATGTTAATGTTTATAAGTGTGTGAATGTGCGTGTGTGTTGAGGTTGAAACAAACTCTAAATTTATATGAATGTATACTTCTAATATTATGTACTCTACTATTTACTTTTAAATGCTACTACTACTACTACTACTACTAATATTATAATTACAATTACAATTACCAACTAAATGCTAACGATAACAATGCATAAAAAAAAAAGAGCAGAGAAAATGGAATAGAACCTAAAACCACAAATACATAGCAGATGCCTAACATCTCTCCCAGCTCTCTGCCCGTAACCTCCCCCCCTAACGTATATATATAAATATATATATATATATATATATATATATTTAACTGATACAATACATACCAATATTTGTACATGGAACCCAAAAAGCAAGTGTAACTAAAATCTAAAAGAAAAACAGGATGCGTCGTGGCATTTAGAATTTAAAGTACGTTCGGGTTGCAACAGTTTTTCAGTCTTTTAACTCGCAGCAGTTCTCAACTGACAGTTCCCGAACAATAAAAAAAAAAAGAAGAAAATTAAATATATATATTAAAAGTGAAACTAAAAAAGAAAACCAAGACGAATTGGTAGTACATACCGAGTACATTAAAGAGCGAAAAACTTAAGAAAAAAAAAAAAACAAAAAAAAATTGAAATTAATAAATAAACTAAATGGCAAATGTGTTTAAAATAATATTAACTGAAATAAGTGTATTTGAAATGAACGAATCGAATAAAACAAATGAAGAAAATCGTGTGCAGACAAATGCGTTATTCGACTAGAGTTAATACTCGACTGTATTCAATTTGGAATTCGAGTTAATGCCCAAAAGAGTTTTGCAAAAATTGTTATATTTTTTTTTCATTTCGATTTTTTTTTTTTTTTTTTTTTTTTTTGTTAAGGCTTAATTTTGCTATGTTTCTTTGACATATATTGATGGTGGAGGAGGGCTTGGATTTCTAAAAATTGGTAAATTTGGGCTTGTGCTTGACGACGACAGTGCGATTGCGCGTATAATGTGGGCCATAGCCGCGCCCGAAACCGGGCAGTAGCTTAACTGGATTGGGATCACGATGGAAATTGATCATCACCTTGGCCACAATTGATATGACGCGATCCTGTTCGCCGTTTTGGTACAATGCATCCAGATAATCAAAGTATGATTCATAGCGAGCGAATTCACGCTCTCTGGGTGACAACAGCAGAATTTTGGTATCTCGTTGAAAATCGGTTATAATTTTCAATTCCTGTTCCATGAAGCAACAGAATGCCACAGATTCGGACTGCATGCAGCGAAAGAACTTATTCAATAGATCATAATTGAATGGCTTTGTCGGTTTGCGTGGCGATTTAAATTTTGGCCTCTTCAGCTTGGAAACGAAACGTTTCGATAGCGTTGGCAGGCGCTCCAGTTCGCGCATCTGGGACATCTCGTGCAGATGACGATAATCATCGATCAGTGAATCGCGCTCCACGCCCACAGCGGCCAGCTCGCCATCGGTGAGCATGTCCAGATTGTATAGCTTGGACAATTCGCCATCTGTTAAACTGCAGCAGCCGGTAAATTTAAGTTTTTGTTTTTCAACATCTAGACGAAAATTGTGATTGCTTGATTTGGGGGATTTTTGTTGAATTGTGTGGCCAATATTTACCATTCGTATCGCTCATGTTTGACTATTTTAGTGTATCCCTATTGTCTACGGGTAGAAAATATAAATATGTTTGGTTTTAGAATAATGAGTGTGTTGTCGCTATGAATTTTTGTTGTGAATGCCGGACTAAGGTTTTTTCATTTTACAGGTCTCCTTCGATTTGAATTCAAAAACAAAGCTTTCAACTCATAGTTAAGGCTTTTTAGCTGGTGGGCTTGAACGCCATCAATTTCGATTTGAAAATCGATTTGAATTAACCGCCTCTCGCAGGTATCGTTCCTGCTGCCATCCAAGGTATCGATATATCGATGATAGGCACAAGCAAGCGGTTAAAGCAGATGGCGCATGCAACAACAAATGATTAAAGCAGACACAGTTATGAATATCATAATGTGAATTATAACTAAAAAAAAACAATTTTTCATACTAATCAACTGTCAGTTGCGTAATAAACTGCATTTGAATTTTGCGCGCGCCTAAGCGATACTTACTTGCCTACGATATAAATATCGCGCTTAATGTATGCTCCGCTGGAAATCATCGCGATATTTTGCACGACTTATCGTTGTGCTTGGTATATCGATTATTATATACGTATGTGTATTTTTACCAAGAGCACAATTTTTGTTAAGATGTATCAATTTTTGTTTTTATTGCGTTTGAACTAATTTTTTTATTACCAATGCGTTAAACTGTGTTTATGTTGAGCCTATATTGGAGTTCTTAGGTACTATAACCAATGAGCAACAGCAGCAGCAATAGCGGCTGAACATACTTGTGTTTGTTGGCTTTTTTTTTTTTTCTTTTATTTTGTTGTTTGTGTTGACGCAGTGATTGCTCGTTGGGGTTAAGTTTACTTATGAAAATTAGATGCGATCACGATTGCCAACATGTCCGAGGTACGCATCCGACCCCGTCAAGTGCTTGTGCTCATCATAGTGTTTATCTTTGTGCTGCTCATGGTGCATCGTAACGGTAAACGCACCTGCCAAGGCCCCGAATATCTGCAGGCTATGTACACAAAATCTTTGACGGACACGTTGCCCAAAATCTATGCCATAACGCCGACGTATTCGCGGCCCGCACAAAAAGCCGAACTGACCAGGTGAGTGGCAAACATTTACTGATCGATTGGCAAATAAATAATAATCCATTTAATTGTAGGCTCTCGCATTTGTTTATGCTGGTGCCAAATCTGCACTGGATCATTGTTGAGGATGCCAATAGCACAACGGCTCTGGTGCGTAATGTACTGTTGCGCGCCGGTCTGACCGATCGGTTTACCCAGCTGAATATCAAGACGCCGCCCGAATTTAAGCTGCAGGGCAAGGATCCCAATTGGATAAAGCCACGTGGCGTGGAGCAGCGTAATCTGGCATTAAACTGGCTGCGCAGCCACGCCGATGTGGATCGTCATGCGATTGTCTTCTTTATGGACGATGACAATTCCTATGCGCTGGAGCTGTTTGTTGAAATGTCAAAAATCAAGCCGGGACGTGTGGGCATTTGGCCCGTCGGCCTGGTCGGCGGTCTGATGGTGGAACGGCCGCTGCTCAATGAGGAGAACAAAGTGATTGGCTTTAACGCTGCTTGGCGGCCGGAGCGTCCATTTCCCATTGATATGGCAGCATTTGCCATCAGCATGGATCTGTTCTTCAAATATCCACAGGCTGCCTTCTCCTATGAGGTGCAGCGCGGCTATCAGGAAAGCGAAATCCTGCGCTATCTGACCACAAGTGATCAGCTGCAGCCGCTGGCAAACAATTGTCGCGACGTTCTCGTTTGGCATACGCGCACCGAGAAAACCAAACTCAACGCCGAGGAGATGCTCCAACGCCAGGGCAAACGCTCCGATGAGGGCATTGAGGTTTAGGCATCGGATCCATCCAAGAATTTATGTATGTTTTCTATTTTTTGCCTCAACTTAGTCTATTGCGTATTATATTTGTAGTCTCGTTGGCCAGTGTCCAATTAAAAATGATGTCAAGTAACATATCATAAGCAACTAAATGTGTTCATAGCTGGTCTATTGCTAGTCGAACACATTTACAAATATATTTTATTCGAGTTACTTTTAAGAAATGCCAATTACTATTTTAAGATAATTCTGTTTCACACACGTAATATGCAACACAGATATGTAAGAACAGGCATATATATGTTCTAGATCAGCATTAACAGTCGGTCCGAGTCGGTCCGAGTCGATCCGCTTCGATTTAGCCATGTCCGCCCGTCTGTCCTGTCCGTCTGCGTCGATCTAAGTACCCATAACAGCTACAGAAATTTCGAACATAGGTCCTCCTAATGCCCGCGCAGTATGAAATTGTGTCCGATAATTGATAACTCGACCAGGAGACACATTCGATCCCATAAAAAATACATCTTCTTGATCAGTATCAACAGCCGAGTCGATAAAGATATGTCCGTCTGTGCGTCTTTGCGTCTGTCCGTCTGTGCGTCTGTCCGTCTGTCTGTTTCTATGCGAACTAATCTCTCAGTTTTAAGGCTATCGTCGTAATACTTTACAGCAGTGCCTCTTTCTTTATCATATAGCTGCCATAGGAGCGATCGGTCAAAAATTAAGTTGTACGAACGACTTTTTGCTCATCAAGATATCTTAAATATAGTTGGCATTAGCTTATTTGGCTGTGCTTCTTATATACGGTGAAAGCACTATGAACATTATGAAAAGCTTGGCTCTGCAAGGGTATTAAGTCTTCGGCGTGTCCAAGATAGCCTTTCTTGCTCCTTGTTTAATAACTTATCCTACATAGACAAAGGTTAGGTAGGTATGTGAAGATGAACGATCGGTCGAAGATTAAATTCTTGTACTTTTCATCAAGATCGCACTTTATTTTTCGATCTATAGCAGGAATCGATCGAAAATGAGTTTATGTATGGCAAAATATTTGTTAGTTAGTTCCAAGATATTTTGATCGAGCTCAGCTTTTACGAGCTTTACTATTCTGACACAATTACAGGGTATTAAATCTACAACGTGCCGTAAATACTCTGACTGTTTCGCTTTTTCATTTATACTTCCAAATTAGCCAGCTTATTTTCTGTTGTTATACCATTTCCAGTACGCAGAATCGCATTAGAAAATCCTCAATTTTGTTCCTAACTATTTCTGAGCATAATTTTTTATAATGTTGAATCTGACTTTATCGAAATCGAAATCGAAAATTTTCGAAATTCACAGGCTAACGGACTATTGAATAAGCACCCAGGTGTAAATACCCTAGAATACCTGCAAATACCCTATAAAATGGATCTGTATAGCTCTCCAGCGATCCGAAAACCTTACGAAAACCAGCTGACGCCAAGTCCAAAAACGAGTAGGTTTGCAAATGTATTTTTTTGATTAATAAAAAAAAATAAACAAAATGTTCTTTGATAAATACGACTTTATTTTCCAACGATTCAGTTTCGTGGTTAATTCTCCTTTGTTTTCTTTTTTTTTTGTTCTTCCAGTTTTTCTTATTGAATTTGCATTTTGTATTTTGTAAAAAGCCACACATTTGAAGTTTTTGTGTCAATTGTTTTTCATGTTGAATTTCTCATTTTCTGGCCATATTTTATATGCTGCGCTCCCGAAAGCAGTTCCAAATTTGTTTGATCATATACATAAAATTACAATTTCGTTTTGGTGTAGCTTTTTGATTGTTGATAGTTTTCGTTATCTTCCGTTTATTTTCATTAAATTTTCTTATATAAACACACAAAAAATGTTTTGTTTGGTTACGTTTTTGTTTTTGCATTCAATTTCTTACATCATTTTAGATTTTGTTTTCTTTTTGTTTTGTTTGTATAATATTTGTATATATTATTTAGATTTATATTTATATAGTAGGTAAAAAAGCTCTGAGAAGGCGCTTGGCTTAACTGGCAACAGAAGCTACAAAAGCTTTTGGCAAACATCTACAAAACAGGACGAACCGAACATCAAAATTAATAACAAATTAAAAAAAAATAAACGAAAAACGCTTTTTTTTTTGTTTTTAATATATATTTATGTAGTTCTTGGTGTATACATATATATATTTTTTTTAAGTTTTTCATGTGTTGTTTTTTATTCGTGTAAAAAAAAAATACTTACACATTAAATTTCAATACATGTACATATATATTCATTATTTAAATAATTATTATTTAAATCCTTACTTACAAATGGTTGTATTTCTTTTCTTTTTTTTTTTTTACATACACATATAAAATCTAAATAAAAAGGGTGGAGGAAATAACTTCAAAATTGTAATTAATTAGGACTGAGTACATAATTTCATAATTTGCATTTGTTGCTGGCTTTTTTTTTTAATTTTCTTAATAGAATGTCATGAAAATAGAACTTAATAGAATTAGAGAGTAATTAAAACAAAATTAATACGAATTGTTTGGCATTGTCGTAGTTGATTTCAGCTTATTGAAACTTGCATTTAACACACACACAAATTTAAACATTTACGCTTTGAATTATGCATTCTATTTAGTACACATTCATTGAAATATTTTAATTATGTTTATATTGAACAGCAAATTCTCTCTTCTTGCTAATATTTCTTAATTTTTCCATTTTTCCATATTCTCATCTTTGTTTTGGCAGTTTTCAAACGCAAATCAGTTGCAGCTGTTGTCGCAACTGTACTTGCCAAGCAGTGCAACTTATGTCGCAACTGTACATGTCAAGCAGTGCAACGTTTGTTTGAAGCTACATACAAGCAGTTGCATTCTTTGTCGTAACTGTACCTCTTGTTAGCCTTTTCATATCATTTCATTTATATTGAGCATTTTGTTAATAACTAACATACATTATATATTTGTATATATCTATGTGATTCGTACGGTTCATTAAGTATATCAATTTACCAATAGGAAACCAAAATTTGAATGTGAATGAATTCTTAACTAAAATTGGGTTCAGTAATTTTTTGTCATGTTCGTGTTTTAAGAATCAAATGCCCGCAAAGTCTTTTGTTTAAGTGGTTTAAGTACTACGAAATTAATGGGTAATCGTGGTGAACGTGGTTATCGAAAAGAACTTTGTGAAAATGCTTGAACTTAATTGTAAAACTTATTTATGGCATGTTTAAGTTAGTTAAACTAATATTTTGTGTATGATTCTAAACCCATTCTCTTGCTCCTTGCCTCATCTCATTTAAATGCTAAATAAATGTAATAATTCATTTTTGTTCATCATGTTTTTAAGGCATTAATTTTAGTTTTAATTTTGTTTTGATCTTAAGCTAAATTGTTAAATATTTTGTTGAGAATCCAGTCAGCCATATATAGTCAATAATATAGTCTGAAGAATCAATCAAAAAAAAAAAGCAATGCAGCAAATACAAAGTGAAGCAACATGGACATATGAGTGTATTTTGTGTGTGTGCATGTGTATGTGTGTGTGTGTGTGTGTGTGTGTGTGTGTGTGTGTGTGTGTGTGTGTGTGTGTGTGTGTGTGTGTGTGTGTGTGTGTGTATGTTGTACTGAGCTTAAAATATTATTTATGTATGCTTTAGATATCGTATATATAGTAAGACATTTAGTTAAGATTGTATAGAACTTAAATTTTAACTGAACACCAACTCATATGCCAATGAAAAAACAGTATTCTTAACGCTGTTCCCACAGCTTTGGCTTTGGTTTTGCTGCTGTAATTCGCAACTTGTTCGTGTCGTTTATTCGGCATTTGTGGGTAGACAGGTAATTGGGTTAGTCATGTTTGTGGTTTGGTGCTGCGGTTCTTTCTCTACTATTTGCGAAAGTGTGAGGGTTTGTGTTTGGGCGACTTTTCAATACTTTTCTCTGTTGCAAGTTTTGTGCACGTCGTTTTTGTTGCAGCTCCCTTGGTTGCGTCGCTTACACCGCCGAATTTTTGCCAATGATTTCGCCGCTGCGCGAATGCACAAAGCGCCCGTCGAATTCGATGGTTGAGTTTTGTTTCAAGCTGCCGGTGGGTGTGCGCAGTGGCTCCTTTTCGTCCCTGTGAAGTTGAGAGCTTGGGATTAGTGAAGAGAATTTGATATCAAATCTAGAGTACGAAAGAGCGCAAAACCCGAAGAGGCTAGATCAGTCAGCTATTAGAAGCAAAGCCAACGAAAGCTTAGTGCTAAAGGACACACACACATGCCTAGTTTGCTACTTACCACGGACATAAGGTAAATGCTACAAGGCTTAAGAGCTAGGACTAAAGCTACATGCGGTGCCTGCTGATCAGATGTGCTACGACAGAAGCGTTTGATGAATACAGTAGTGTTGGAAAATGAAAAAAGAGAGCGCAAAAAGAAACTACGCAAGCGAGACAGAGCAGAGATAAGTGTTGCAAGACTACGCAAAAACAAAAATGTTGCAAACAATACAATCAATGTACGTACAATGGAGATGTCACTGGTGAGCCGCCGAGCTTAACTGGCGGCGGCAGTGGTAACGGTGATGGTGGTGGCTCCTTAACCAGCTGTCCACTGCAATAAGGTAGCGGGAAACGCCAACCATAAAGACTGCTTGGTTAGATGATGGTAATTTGGATGGTATTTTTTTTGTTTTGTTTTGTTTTTTTGTTTCAATTCGATAGATTTTGTTGGATTTTTTATAGATTTGGTTAGTTGGTTTTGTGTTGAATGATTTTGATTGATTCGTACAGTACGTATGAGTTTGATGTGGTAACAATTTGGGTAAATCAAGAGAGAAAGTATAGATGGTATGGAGAGTCGATAAATGTGACAATGTGATAATGTTGTGAACGTTTTTTTTTATTATTTATTTATTTTCAAATATGAATGTGTGTGTGCATTTGTCTGTGATTCGTATTAATGATTGATGTGCTGATGAACATAACAAAGGAAAGTCAAACAATGTACGATAAAGATAATATATTTGAATAACAAAATATCTAGCCGCAGCCAGTACCAGTAATTACTTGAGAGAAAAAGAGGTACTATACTAAATAGTATTAAATGTTAGACAAGGCACTTGATAGATGTTCGAGTGAAAGGGTGGCTGAGCAAAATCTACATCTTGATAGCTGGCTGCATACTATTTAACTACTTTTGAGTTATAAAAACATTCCACTGGTCTTTATTCGTCTCTCTCATCGAATGTTCATTCAAAATGTGTTTGCATATAATTATATTTAACTGGAAACGTTTGGGTCTAACTCTCTAAGTCTCTGCCGGAGTGACAACATTCATGTATAGAAAGACAAATTCATTTGGGGTTTAATGTTATTGTCATTTGGTACATTCTTTCAATGATGACATCTTCTGCCAATTTACTGGTCATCATTCTTGTCATTTATAGATTTTAACACACGCTTTGAATGATGACAACATTCGGCCAGTGGAATTCGTTATGGTACACAAAAATAAAGAAAATTACATACACACACACAACACTAAAGAAAAGTGTTGACTAACGAAGTGAGGAAACAGATGAATTGATACAGAACAATTCTGTAGCTAAAATTGAAAATAAGCTTATGTGTTTTCTTGTATTGTGGGATAATAGAAAAAAGAATACGGTATTTCGTCTGTTTTATGTGGCGTGTTTAGCAAATTGTAAACATATTTAATATTGCACTAGAAATGAGAATTAATAATTGAAATACTTGTAACTAAAAATGGGGGCGGGGTGAAGGAGAATTTTGTTTGGTGGGAAGCTGTTGCTTTTTCTTTTTTCGTTCTCTTTTGGTCTTTCGGCTCAAACGATTATCAGTGAATTTCGATTGAACAACAACGATTTCGGACGCGCATAGACCCAATTGTATTCGAAATCCGGGCGTTGAGAATTTTGTCTTTGGTCGAATTTGTTTTGAGCGGTGCAAATCGAAAAGAGGTAGAAAAATACACAAACAAACAAACAAAGATTTAATGCAAATTTTTCGAATTGGGTAGTTTTTTTTTTTTTTATATTTTGTAAATTCGTATCATTTTTAGTGCAATATTATGTGATTTGAAAGACCCAACCGAGTCCCGCTAGTTTATAGGGTATCTATAGATGCTTACCTGCCCAGCTTGGCCTCGTCATCGATCTCCGAAGGCGAACGCTTGGCCTTGCGGCACATGGCGGCCATGACGCCCATGTGCACGGTCACACAGCACAGAAGATCCACTATGAAGAGTAGAAGAAGCACGCCGCCAACGGCAATGCCCACAATGGCCGCCGAGGAGAGAACTTGACGTTCAGCCACTTGAATGACATCGATGCCTGTGTGGGAGAGAAATCGGTTTTTTTTTTTTTTTTTGTTGGGGGAGTAGGAAAAAGGAGCGTGTGGGGGATAGTAGAGTGCTTGATTAGTAAATTGTCATTCAAGTCTTGCATATAGAGCTAATAAATATTGGTATATATTAAATACTAAATTAAATACTATAGCATACTTCAGCTATTGGCTGCATTCCAGCTGCGATTTGGCGTGGATGACAGCCAAGCGCAAAACTAACTTTTCAACTCGAGTTACAAACTTGCTTCTCATCTTGCTCAGCAATAAACACTTTTTTCTAAATGTGTGTTTTTTTGTTTTCTTTTCGTTTTTAGTATGATTTCATATTGAGTTCGAGTTTTGTACAAACATATTTTACATTTTTGTGTGTGTATTTGAAAAAAAAAAAAAAAAAATAATAATAACAGAAAAAAAATTAAATTAAAATTGGGCATGTTAAGTAAAAAAAGCTTTAAAAAAACAACAACTAAATATTAAATACATTTTAAAAAGAGAAATAAAAAGTTAATAGTACACCAATTCGATATGAAATAATAAAAAGTAGTTTCGATAAATTATCGATAAGCAATGGAATATCAATAAACAAATAAAAGAAGGTATAAATAAAACATGCAGCCTTCAATAGGGCAGGGAGAGACGTATGTATATAGAGAGCAGGGGAGAGAGAGAGAGAGAGAGAAAGAAGGAGAAAATGAAAGAGAGATAGAGAGAGAGCGGCAGAGAGAGTGAGTGAGAAAGCGCACGATAAGGCAGGAAAACTTAAGAGTTTTGCTTTAAATGCAAAGACAAAGAAGAAACGCCAATAAGCCAAAAAATATACAAGCAATAGCATTGTTTATATAAACTTAGGATTCAAAGCTTTTTTTTGTACAAGGAATGCGTATGTATGTGTGTGGGTGTGTGAAGCAGTTTTGTGTGTACATAACGATAACGATAACATTTAAAGAATTGTAAATTTTTTAATACAAATTTGCGAGTGCGCTCTGCTTACCAATTTGCAAAAAACATTAACAAAATTGATTTTTTTTGTGTTTACAAAAATTGCTAAAAATATCTAATTACTTGATTTTGAGTGCTGCACGTTTTAAATATATAGATTTATATGTTGTTCGGAAGCTACAACTAAACTTTACAAAATTGATAAGAAAATATTGTATTTAGTTAGTAACATTTTGTTGTTTTGTGGATTAGAGTAGGATTCGCTTCGCGTTATGCTGTTTTGTATTGTTTTTATGTTAGTCGCTTTGGTTAAATTATAATCGAATGCGTTTTGTGTTATAATCGGTTAATTTTGTGAATTGTCGAATATATATATATATGCATGTGTATAAAACTATTATTAATTATTTAAACGAGCTAATTTGTTGCATAACCATATTACCTGTCGGTATATCACACCTGGCAGCTGTGCAGCGGTATTTGTTTAAAACGTTATTATCAGCTGTCAATTTTCATGGATCGATTAATTTATCGATCGCTACAAGCGCACTGCAGCCCTGTGCGTTTTTAACATCTTTTTTAACATATACACACACACATACACACATAGAAGAGGCTCTTGTTTGTTAAAGTTTGTCTTTATTATCCAAAATGAACTGCTTACTTTTTAGTTTTTGTTTTTTGTTTTGTTTTAAAGACTGCTTACAACATTTATGACACATATGCAATTTTTTACTTTTTCTACTGCTTGGTATGTAGGTGTGTTTGGGTGTGTGCGGTCGTGTGTGGTCGTGTGTGACTGAGAGCACCTTAGATATATCCTATTATCTCTCTTTCAAACATTGGTCACCTGTTCTCATGCTTCATGGTTAAGTGTTCACTGTTCGCCATATATTTTATAGTTACCTAGGCCTCAGCCTGGTACATTTAGACTGACAACAAGAATTTGAGAAGTTCTGTCCACTTTTACAGAATGTTTAACACTTATATAAAAAAAAAAAATACATAGTTAGCTGCAGCTAATCTGGTATGTATGTGAGTTATGAACCGTGTGGCATTCAACTTATGTACAGTTCTGCGTTAGTTAGATTCTAGTTTAAACTGCTTTATCAACTGCTTGTCCTACAGCTAACGCCTCTCCCGGCGAACCTCAAGCTATTTGGCCAGTCATTTATGTGTATTTATATTCGTATCATTTTAGGTTAATATTTATTTATGCCTCTCAAAGCTAGGTAAAAAAAAAAAGACAATACGATACGATACGATCTGCTCAGCAACGTTAGGCGGGCTGAATTATTCACTAACTATGGTAAGTATATAACTTTTGTATATTGTAAAGTTACAAATTGGAATTATGTTTCACGATATATATGTATATGTGTATATATATATATATTTTGCTAGAAAAGGTTTTTGTTTTTGACTAAAAATTGTATACAAGGAATATTTTATCTAAATTGAACTGCTTTGTCTTTGCTTCTGAAGTATTTTTTTTTTTGTGTTCTTAGTTCATTTTTTTTATAATTTCTTAGCACACGTAATGGATGCACATATATATGTAACTAGTTATATACATACATATGCATATAAATATGGTTTATATACCTTAATTCAATGAGCACAAACATTTACAAAAATTTCAATACTTTAAGCTTAATACACCATGTGAAAAAAATTCGTAGTTGGAAACATGCGTTTGGGGTTGTAAAGGGTTCCGTGGGCTACGTTTGGTTATCTTTGAGTCTAAATCAGCCCTTAATATGGATTCAAACTTTGTATTCACTAAGTTTATGTCTTTATGTTTTTTAATTTTTTTTTTTTTTTTGGTTTTTTTTTTTCTTTTCTTTTTATTTTACTTGTAGTTACTTATTGTCCCCTTAACGTATACGTTCAATAAAAAAAAAACAAACAGCTCTTAAGTCACATACTAGAAAAACCCAAAACTTGAAACGGACAACTTGGGATTGAATGGCTTTATAACGGTGGTATTTTTTTTCTACCAGAACGAAGGAAGCATAGGATACTTATCGTTGGCTATTTAAAAGAATTGCCAGTTGTATAGTTTTATCTAGCAGAAACGTTTTGTATAAAACTTCCGAGGCTTATTTGCAATTTCAGTTTCGAATCGAATCGACAGTTTTGTCAAGATCACAGCAGAAACTGTTATTCTCGCTGGAAAAGCTATGATCTAGCTGTAACTGAAGAATTGAATCAAAAGTGAATGCACTTGGCTGCCCCTTATATGATTTGCCACATCTACTAACGATCTAAGTAGTTTGGGCTTTGTGATATTATTATAATACTCTCTAATAAAATGTGGTTTCGCGTACGAAAAACATTAATTGCTTTGGCTTGGCAGTGCTTTATCCACATGACGTATTGCTATCAAATTTTAAATATTAAACAACGGAAAACTGAGCAGCTTTTATAAGGTAGTTACGTAGGTAAGGCAAATGGAAGAGAACTGACCTTTAATACATACATATGTGACGAATGAAATGGTGCATACATATGTCTGCAATACGTATTAAAACTCTAAATAAACCTTCGTATGACTTAACAAGTTGTTGATACTTAAGTTTAAAAACGCGTTTGTCTGTGCCTAAGTACTCGTATATATGGTATATGATTAAACGTTCGTATTTTTTTTCTTTTTCTTTTTTGGCATTTAGCAGTTTGTGTTTTGTACATTGAATGGAATCATATAGTGTATAGCGCAGATATTTTTAACACCCTAGTGATAAGTAATTATCATATGTGGTATTCATGTTGGTACGAAATACATTCACGTTTATAGCTCAACATGCTATATATGTGTATGTTGTGTTTGTGTATTTCATATTTGGTATTTTTGGTATTTTCCTTATTATTATATACAAATTGTCGACAGATTGATGAACAAAAATAAAATAACATAAAATAAAACAAAACGAAACGAAAATTTTGCAGCGGTAGGCTTGAAGCATCATCCTCCGGTTGTTCCGTGCACTGCTTGGTGTACTGCTTGTTACAAGCGCTTAAGCAGTGCGTGTCGACATCAAAAGCATCAGCAACAGCAGCGGCATCGCGAGCATTTGTGCATTGTTGGCAAGCAGTCGATTCGTGGCGCTGCTTGATGAATACGGATACGGTTTGTCTGTTTTTTTTTTTTTTTTCGTGGGAAGTGAGGAACAGTTTGACGTAGAGGTTCGGAACAGGTTCAGTTTGTGCGGCAGCAGTTTATAGTGTTTTGTATTTATTGTTGTTGGATTTAATTTTGGTTTTAAATGGTTTGGTGTCATAGCATTCGATTTGGGGATTGTTTTTGTTGTTGGTTTTTTTTTTTTTTTGTATTTCACACAGCGTAAAAGAGAGAAAAAACAAAGAAAAGTAGTAGAAGAAAAAAGGAAGAAAAGGAAACACACAAAAGAATATTTTTTGTTGGTTTTCTTTCTTGCTTGATTGTTTTGCGATTTAAATAGATCAAGAGACGACGACGTTGACATTTTGCTAAGACTCAAACATAATGTGGATGTGTGTCTTATATATATAAATATATACGTGTGTGTGTGTATTGTGGGTGTGAGTATTCAATTTGAGGTTAGTTGGTAAGAGTATTTCTTTGCTGGGTACACACAATGCAGATTGCACTGCTTGCTTTCAGTACGAGAGCTACCCTCAAAGTGTTACAGTTTTTAGACCTATTGTGTTAGAGTGTTAATTGTATCTATTAGTAGATTATGCTATGCTGTTATTATATATAGATGCAGTCACTTAAATATTGGTAAGACATAGTTAGTATAAGTTAAATAAATTAGGCATAGATATATAAAATATAGGACATGAATATGTTATGAGAAGGCATAGGGAATATGTATGAGAGAGCTGTACAGCAAGTTGAATAACATAATAGACACACACGCACACATACACAAGTATATACTGCAAAATTACGATGGTTCGCAAAACTATCGATAATTCTAGCATGAATGTGAAGTCAATTAATGAGTTCATACGAGTCTAATGTTGATCAATTAAGATTGTTCTTATTTTAACTTTGTTTCAGATCAATCTTAATAACTTTAATTAAAACAAACACGTTTCAATGTCTATTATTTTACGTAGTTTTATCGATAGTTTTGCAGCTCCATCAGCTACACACAAACAAAAGAGTGCACAATATGTATAAAAAAAGAGATCAAGCAGCTAATTAAAATGAGTGTGATGTATGATGAAAGAGACAGACACACAGTCACAGAGAGAGAGAGAGAGAGAGAGCGAGAAAGAGAGATAGCGAGAGTGAGAGAAAGACACAAGTAGCGAGACGTAGAGCCAACAAACATAACACAATGTTGTTTATGAGTATTCAATAATGAAACAGTTGCCATTGCAAATTATGCTAGTTTGGTTTTTTTTTTGTTTTTCAATATTTATTCATTAATTTTTTTTGTTTTCAATTTAAATGTAAATTTAATAATGTTGTTGCTTAATACAAAATTTAACTAAAGAAATAGTCGCAGTACATACAAAGGGAAAAAATGTAGAATATATAAGTAAAAGTACAAATTATGAAGCAAACTAATGGGCATTACGAAGTTTTAAGAACTATATTGAAAAATTTATTACAATTAACACAAGTATTTTTATTTCATTTTAGAAGTTGTATTTCTTCTTTTTTTGTTTTTTAATATATATTAAAAATTGATTACAAAATGCATTTCAAATTCAAAATATGATGAATGCACACACACAAAAATATAAAAAAATAATTTGACTAATTTTAATCATTTTTATTTCATTTTTAAATTAATAATTAAGTAAATGCTTATGAATTGTAGTTTAAAAAAAATATTAAAAAAAGCTGACGGTACACATACTAAAAAAAAAAACACGGTAAACAAAAGAGAGCACTCAGTACACCGAAGAGTGTGGGAGAGTATGAGCGGGAGAGCGAGACAGAGCACAGCTTACGAGATGATTGCATATTGAGTTCTTTGATGTTGTGTATGTGGTGTGTGTGTGTGTGTGTGTGTGTGTGTATGTGTGAGTGTGTGTGCGTGTGTTTGTGAGCAAAATTGTACTTATATAATGCTTATCCAATGCATTTGCGTATTCCTTGACTTAGCTCAGTTTAGAGTACTTAAAAAAAGTGTTGCAAAACGCTAGCTGATCGGACAAAATTGCCAGCAAATGCGATTTGTTTTTGCTTTTATTTGGAATGTAAATCGCTTTCAAAAATGATTGTGTGTGTAGAATTATGGGTATGGGTAACTAATTGGTTGGGGACAGGGTTCAGTACAAAGTTAGCATTAGGTGTTAGCTAGACGTAAACGCACAAAAGCATGCAACGAAAATTGTTTTTGGCGCAGCACAAAACAGTTCACGACATTTGTAATAAAGAAACAAAATAATCAAAAATCTTCATCAGGCGAATTCGCAAATCAAGAAATTACACTGTAAAAAACAACTGGGATCGAGTTTAACAATTACAGAGTACTTATAGCACACACACATACACACCAAAGAAAAAAAAAACAGGAAGAAAAAGGGTAGAGATTACTGAGTAGACTGGGAGAAAATTAATGAATACACTGAGATAAAAACAGAAATGGCATTGGAAACGCAAAAAATAAACACTACAAAAATGTATGCAAAAGTTATTGTACTCGCTATTTGTATAACGCATGTTGTATAAATATATATGATATTAGATACGTTAAATAGAGCGATCAAAAATAGTTATATATATATATATATATATATACCGATTTATATATATTTAAATATGTCTATGTGTATATTGATAGATAGTATGCAAGTATTTCAAGAAGTTGTGTAAGTATTTTTGCTGATCTTGTTGTCTTGCTCAAAGATCGATAACAGGATCAACAGCGTGTGATCGTATTCGATTCGATTCCAAGTTTATGTTAGATTTTCTTCTGTTTTGTTTTCTTTTTGCTTCTTCTCGTCAGATATTCAATTACATAGATTATGCAAATGGTTTATGATCAAGTAAAACGAAACAAATCGATATCGATCGATATCGATCGATTTGTTTTGCCTTACACTAACATTGAGGTTAGGACACTAAATAAGGTAATGCTGATTGTTGTGGCCAGCGCAATGATTGTTGTTGTTGCTGTTGTTGTTGATGTTGTTGTTCTTGTTGCTGTTCTTGTTGTTGTGATTGTGAGTTGTTTGTGTAGCGAACTGACGCCGGAATTGAAGCCGGCCGAATAGAGCAATGTGCCAAGATTGTTATTAGCTGAATCGGACTCACCTCTGGTCGTTTTCATAATGATAGATGCCGGCGATGAATAGCCGATGGCATTGTGTGCCTTAAGCTCGATGCGATAATACGTATTGCCGCTCAGATCGGACATCTGATAAGATGTGGTCTCCACAACCTCGACCGTATTGCAGCGATTCTCCAGCTCGTGCCAGGTGCCGGCCATCTTAACGCCCTGTAGTGATCAAGTACAAATTAGTTGCCAAATTAGTTGCCGACTCAGTTCTTTTTATTAATTTTTTCTTTGCAGTGCACTTACCGGACAGTACTTGATCTGGTAGCGATCGATGGGCTCACCATTGTCAGCGGGCACGCCCCAGCGAAGCTCAAAGTGATCCGAATAGGGTGAGACGACGACCGGTTCCTCCTTATCGTTCTGTACGGGGCTGTGCAATGGCTTGGGCTCCTCGGGCGCGGAACGACGCGGCGTCGATTGCTGTTGATTCACACCCCAATTGCCAAGACCAACTTGATTGCGTGCCGCAAAACGGAAACTGTACATGGTCTGTGGACGCAGTCCCTCAACAATGTACGGCGAGTCGGGTGACCAGCTACGATTCAGAGCCGTCGACCAGTCCGGATTGAGTGCCTCCTTGTATTGTACACTGAACGCCAGTATGGGCAGGCCGAGCTCTGTGGCCGGGCCGCGTATATCGAAGGTGATGGTGGTCGCCGTCAGCTGGCGGGGCACAGCTGCCGTTACAAAGTCCGGTACGCGCGCCTCCTTCAGCTGCATATCGTGCTCGGCAGAGCCATGGATATTGGTGGCAATGCACTTGTAGGCGGAATAATATTGCCGGGTCACTGGATGAACAATGAGATCGCTGCGTGGTCCGGTGCCTTCGATCTTGAGATTCGTGTCATACAGATCCTTAATGTTGCGTCCATTCCAGCGCCATTCGATGGTCGCATTCGGTATGCCCATAGCCAAGCAGCTAAGATTTGCCATGCGCTGCTCCCAGCTGAATACCGGCGGCAATTCCTTCATGTGCGTAAAATCTGGCGGGAATTCAACGGCAATGTGTCCAGTCTTGTAGGCGGTGTCACCCTTGTTCTTGGCAATGCACTGATACAAGCCGTCGTCTGTGCGCTGGGATCGTGCAATTCGCAAGGTGCCGGTGCTCTCGCCGCGTTCCTCATCAAAATATTGTTCGAGAGTGATGCGTTCATCGTCCATTTGGACGCCAGGCGTGTACTGCTGTTCGGTGCCCCAACGACGGAAAGTGATGGCCGGTGCGGGACGTCCCTTAGAGCGGCAGGTGATGGCAATTTCCTTGCCAGTGACACCCGTCACATTGTACAGCTCATAGACAGAGGGACGAACGAGCACAGTTAGCTTGGTCTTCTTATCCACAACGCCGGCAGCGTTCTTGGCAATGCACGTATAGGTATCGTAATCCTCCTGGGTAACCGAGCTGATGGTCAACAGACCCGTTTGGGCATCCACCTTAAAGCGATCCGCATTGGCCACATTTAGCTGCACAGAGTCCTTGATCCAGCTTATCTCCGGCACCGGTTTACCAGTTGCCGTGCAATTGGCGGCAAACGGTTTGCCCTCAACAGCCTCCAGTATGGCGGGCAGATGTGTTATTACTGGACCGATATAGACTTCCACTCGAATGGTACGCTCCAGAAGTTCACCCGTTTCGATGACTGCCGCACGACAGGTGTAGATACCGTCATCTGTTTCGGCCACGTCGCGTATGAGCAAGCCATGTGTCTGCACCACGTGCTTCGAATCTGTGCGTATCTGTGGCAGGAAGAGAAGTGTCGGTGTGTCTGAGAGTGAGTGGGGCTGGATCAGGTTGTCTAGTGTTGCATTACTTACCGGATCGCCATTGCGCAGCCAGTCAATGGTTGGATTGGGATCGGCTTTCACCTCGCACTTCACCACGTAATCATCGCCCAGTATAGGAAATTGATTCTCCGGCGCATTTGTCCAGGTAATAGCCACTGGAAAGGAAAACAGAGAAAAGGGGTAAGTGAAATGAGTATTGTAGTTGCAGCTCTAGTTCTTCCAGTGAAATGTCAAACAAATTTCTAGACAAGTTGTTGACATTGGTAGCTAACGTGGCGTATACGTAATATAATTTTAAGCAAACTCTCACGTTCACAAGTAAGCTAAATAAACATCGAGCACAAAATCCCCTATATGTGCACGTATTTGTTAGCTAGAATCCAAGCAGCCAAGTAACGAGTCATTCAGCTAACCCAAAACATGAACCAAGACCAACAACTTGCCACAATCCACGCAATGCGCTCCATGGGTCACTAACGAGCCGGACGACGTCGTCGTCCTCGTCTTTTCGAGGCATGCCAATAAATCTCTGTTGCAGCAGCAGCAGCAGAAATTGAAAAAATTGCAAACTGAAATTCCTAAATCAAATACTTGCGCACAATCCAAACACAAACAGGCATCGGCCAAATGGACACGGGGGGAGTGCTGGGCCGGGTGAAGCAGCCTGGACAGCCAGTCAGCCAGCAAATCGAAGCTGAGGGTTCAAAGTTAAGGCACAAACTACAATATTTTACACAACCAACTGTTTAAATATATCCACAGAGAGCTGTGCAGAAATTCCCTTCCAAAGCTGGTTACCCACGTTGGGCGCCAAACATTCGCATCAGGGCTGCTCAGGTGCAGTTGCTATTGCCACAGTTCAGTGACTTCCTGCGATTCATTTGGCTTAATGATAGCTTGTAAATTGTTATTGAATTGCGTTTTTACTGCAATTAAGTTGATGCGATTAGCAAGAGTGCATAAATACTAATTAAGAGTTTTGAAAATATGAACTAAGCTGCGTCAAGTCCGAGGCGATTTCAATGAGTTTTGGCTCTTGGGATTTATTTTGCAATTCAATTTTGCTTAGCACCGTTTCAGGGTTCGAACTTACTTAAAGTTGTTTTTAAATATATTAATCTGAAAAGGTTTTACGTTCAGCTTTCTAACTGTTCTTATTTTATAGTAACGCAACCAATTTACTTTATAAATGCGCAGATAAAGGCTGAAATAGTTTTCTGTCAAATTTCAAGCCCATAAAGTGTCTTAATGATTGCACAGCATTTCCGTCTATCTATCTATACGTTCTTTCAACCCCTTTGATCGCATCAACCTCGGGGACTACAGACTTGAAATTTTGAAGGTAATTCATGCACACCTGCCTTTTTCGAATCTTAAATAGCTCGCACTATTTGTTAGATATCGTGTTGAATTCAAATTGACATTGATATGCTCTATTTTCGTTTATCACATCTTGGACTTTATGAGCCGCAGCTGGGTTCTAAGTAATTCGTAGCTAACGGGAGCACTCTTAAAGCTTTTATAGTCTCTTCTCTTAGTCAATTAAATACCTAAATTTGATCAGACTTTGAAGCAGGGCGATTAAAATATGGTCAATATTTGCATATCAAGAACTGTCATAAATAACAAAAATCCAAGTTTTTGTAAACAGTTATAGAAAAAAGTGTTGCCTACTTTTTGGGTGCGGCAAAATTGTAGATGCATTTGCGTGGCAGGTGTTAAGTGAAAATAAAATATATAAAAAAATGCCAAATCTGTTGCTGAAAGGGGATGAAGTTGGGAGTTGGCTTAAGAGGGGGGAAGGGGTTTTTGGCGTGTTTCGTGAGTGTGTGGGAACGGGGGACGGGGAGGGAGGGTATCTTGAGTTGGAATGTAACATAAGTTTGCGTTATTTCCTGAGCGGAAATTGTGCAGATCACTTTTGCGGGCGCAGAGCAAAGCACAACAAGGATATCAGGCGTGGGGCGTGGGCGTTAAGGGGCGTGGCACGAAGAAATGTAGCTGCATTTGCTGAGCTGGCAGTCAGCATGGCGTGGGTGTATGTTAGAGTGTGTGTGCATCTCAAATATTTGCAGTTTATTTATAAATCAATGTAATAACAAGCCATCTGTCTATCTATCCTAGCTGTCTGTTGACTGTCAAACAACACACACAGACTCCCACACACACACACACACTTTCTCTGTCACACACACACACATACCCTCAGACACACACAGCCAACTTGCTAGCCAATGCAGCGGGTGCACAAGGGCAAAAGTCTTTTGAGCCAAATCCTGGTGTCCGGCCTTCGGGGTTTTTACGGCTAAAGCCAAACGGGATGTTGTGTTAAAAAACATTTTCCATTTACCAATTTTATTGGCAGTGTAAGTCGCCATGCCACGCCCCAAGCCGCCCATGTCATGTGTGTGCGCAACATATAAAATAAATAAAAGTTCCTGTCGAATTTTCTTTAGCCGAACTCCCAGTTTGGGCCAAAGGCAAACAAACTGCAGCTTCTTATTGTTGCAGTAGTTGTTCTCATTGTTGCTGCAGTAGTTGTTGTAGCTGTTGCAGTTGTTGCTGTTGTTGCTGTTGCTGTTGCTCTCTGCATTGTCGCTGCGTGTAAGATTTTGTTGTGCAAACACTTTTCGCTGACGCCTGACAACAACATAAAAATAAACACACACACAAGAAAGCAAGAAAAAAAAGGCAACTAAAAAAGGAGCAAAGCAAAAGGATGGGAGATGAACTAGTTTACGATTTCATTATTAGTTTGAACAACGACAAGGACAACGCCAGGGGACAGCAAAGGACACGCGGATACACCGTCGCAAGTCGCATGACTCACAACTTATTGAAAAACTTGCTGCGACGTCAAAACAAAAACAAAAACCAACCAAAAAAAAAAAAACAATAACAAATAAATGCAACTGCAGCAAGTTATTAAAAAACAGACAGCCGCAATTGCAGCTAGTGCGGCCATAAACTCATTTCGGTTTAGGTTGAACCTATATACTTTAGGCTGGTCCATAACTGGAGCACAGTTGCATTTTTTGTAAACACGTTTAATGAAGCAAATATTTTTTTATAGATTTGGGGCCTGTTAAGGTGGAATGGATTGCTAAGCAATTTTACGTAGGAATGAAAATTTCTTAAATATTTGAACATTTTTTCGTTCTTGGGGATTGAGGTATTATATTTGCCATAACTTTCGCTCAGCCAGTGTCCCGTGTCAACGAACTTCACTTGACAAGGAAGTAAGGCTGAGTAGAATATGTTCAACTGCTTACTGAGTCATGCATAGAACTGCTTTACATGTGCACGTGTGCAATCAATGCACTGCTTTGCGCGATCACAAGCGAGTACAGTTGCGTACAAGTAGACTATCTTTGAATTAGAGTTAAGTTAAGTTAAGTTGTTCTGCATTTATATAGGATATAAATTTATTATGAAACTAGTATATTTTATTTCATTAAATGTTTTCTCCTTCAGATTAGGATTATGAGCGAAATCGTTTTTCTCATTGCTTGCTAGCGCGCCAGTGAGTACAGTTGTGTGCAGAATGGCTGGCTTTGCAAAAAGTTTCGAATGCCAAGAAGGGTTCAACATACACACCTTTTCTCCCCCAATAAAAATTAAATATATAAAGAGCTTGAGAATCCACATAAAATATAACTCAATTAAAAGCACATAGCAACATTTTACGAGTGCCAAGGTCTCAGTTTCAATTAGTATTTTGAGAATTGGTTAAAACTATTTTGAAGATATTCATGTGCCGCAAGTTAAGTGAAATTTGTGAGCGGCACTTGCAATCTCTGCTCAAAGCAATGAAATCGGCTTAAGTCTCCACTTATGAAAACAAAACTTAAATATAATACGATATGAGTATGCAATATGTTATAGTTTATAAATGCCAAAATATTACAAGTGAGCAGCTTTTGTTAATCGCTCACACTCCATAGAACTATAGAATAGGGTTTATTTAAAGAGATTTTGTTCATTTTGTTGCATTAAATGGAATTTGAGGGCTTTAAATAAATGCTTGCATAATGCTGCACATTGCATGAGGGATGCCGCTTTAATAGAGCCAGCATGCCAGAGAGGTTCGGTGCAAAAGAGCGAAAATGAGGATGGGCTTGGGGCTTGGGGGGTTGGGGCGGTAACTTGGTAGCTGCGTGTGGCATGCAGCGTGGTCCAGTGCAAAACTTGTGCGCACTTTGGCAACATCGGAAGCTGCCATTGCAACGGAAGTTTGTTTGTAGCATATGCATTTATTAAAAGCATAAATATTGAAATATTAAGCTGTGAGTGGCACAAACAACAGCGGACTCCGTGTTCTGTGTGCGTGTGTCTGTCTGCGTGTGTGCGACTGTGTGTGTGTATGTTTCTGTGTGTATAAATAGTGAGACAGCAGCTACAACTACAAGTTGCAAGTCCTCTACTGGAAGTACTCGCATTTGACTGCTCCTGCAATTTGCACTTCTCCCACACAGAAATTCCTTCCCCCCCTCTCACTCGACGCTTATTTGCTTAGCTAAATGCAACTTTTGAGTTGTCAACATAGAATGAGAGGAACACATACACACACACGCACGCAGAGACTGGGGCTTTGTTGGTATAAAGCTGGTCAGCATGGTTTGGCAGCTCGAGTACAAGTTGTTATTAAGTTGAGTTTATGTGTAATTGCTCGTAGGTTTGTGAATTTAACAAAACTACACAGTGTAAGCAAATAAGTCTAATCGTGGCTTATATGATAAGTTAACGTGTTCGTACTACTAGCACTGCTAATACAGATTAGCCCCTGTTTCAAATTAAAGCCTATCAAAATCGCACATGCAGGTTATAAGCATTTCTCAACACTGACTATAGCATATACTAATTCTTTTCACTCCTATGCAGTACTTGAGACCATTGCATTGACACAAGATTGCTTTAATGGCAATTACCAACACTGTATTTTACAAATGGCATTGCCTGCCTTCCTCGGCAATTGATTAAACCAATCAAAAGCTAACCGAAAAACATTTGTCATAGACTACCGCGTTATTAACCAGCACTCATTGCCTGTGTGGCATTTATCAACACTACTGACTGCTTTACCGCTCTACGCTGCACACGGCAAATGCAAACAGCTTAAATCTGAAAATGTTGCCCATACTGCGTGCTGTTTGGCGATGCCCAGCACTGTGCAGGACGCAGTCCACTTACGCGGGTATTGTCTTATTTTGACCCAACTCGCTGGCACGCACTCAAACAACGCCTTGTTTCGACCCCGGTCACAATATGCAAACAACAAACAAACAAACAAACGAGCGGCCCAAGGCATCTGCATCTGGAAATCGTAACCGTGTTGTGTCTGCCCGAAACAACAATTGGAGAACACAGCTAACAACACTGGCTGCCGTATACCTTCCCATATCGGAGGCACAAATTGTTGCGTGGCAAAATATTTGATTTCATTTCAAACGCAATGGATTGTCGAGCTTACATTTTGTTACCAGCTTGTTGGGGTGTCGGGCGCCGAGCAAATCTCAGCCATGGGGCAAACGTAACGTTTAGCTTTTGGGAAGAGCTGAGTGCCTTCAGCTAGTAAATTCCGCACGTGTCGCACAAGAGTTTGATAAAGAGAGCAAGAGAGAGCTAGCAGCAGCTGCAGCAGTTGGCCTTCTATTTGAACAATAGACGTGTATACATCTGCGTGTGTGTGTGTGTGCGTGTGTGTGCGAGCAGGTTCTGTCGTAGCGTTAAAAGCTGCTACCCCGCGGGATGGTCGATTGGGGGCTATGTAGAGCTTGGACGTGTGCACTTTAAATTGCTTAGAAAAATCAATCTCGTCAAAGTTTTCAGAAAGAGCTGCAAGCGACGTCATCGCCACTTATGTGGAATTTTCTAAAGCTTCACCAGCAAAGTTAACGAGCCAGCAAACTGTGTGTGCCTGCGTGTCTGTGTGTGTGTGTGTGTGTGTGTGTGTGCCTGTGTGTGTGTGGCACTTGTTGTGCCCAAGTATTGTTGCTGATGCTTATTAGTAACGTCTTTGTTTGGACTTTCATTCATTTTGTAGTTCTTTTGTGCTTTCACAATGCATCAATAAAATAAAATCGAACTAAATTCAACGTGTAATTTCTCTAGCTGCAGCAAGCACAACTGTACCTGAGCATGACACATGACAAAAAGCTGTTCGCTTTGATTACTTCAAGGGAAATTTACTAGCAAAAATCTATGTACAATATCCAACTCGGCGGAACATATTGCATGCATATCATACATCGTTGAAAGCTTTTTATTTTGTATTATATATATATATGTATTTTTTTTTTGTTTTATTTAAATTTGCCATTCTAGTCATTCGAAATGTTGTGCATTCCATTGAAAATGTTGGCATGCATGGATACGATTTTAGCTTGTTTCTAAGGGCAGCAGGCATTATGGGATAGGTGTAGTTTTATCGAAAGGTTTAGCAGATTGTCGCTCTCTCTCCTTTTCTCTCCCTCTCTCTCTCTCTCTCTGCCTCTCTTTCATAGTGCAACATTTTTAAGCTTGCGTATTTCTATAAATTCTTTGGAATATGCCAGTTTCTATCATTGCTAAGAGTTCACATTAAGTTAAATATAAGCGAAGAAGATTTAGAACTACTTGGATAGTTTGCAGTACAATTGAATGAAGCATTCTTAGCTTGAAAAACTCGCATCATTTGAGTGTCAAATTAAGCAACTTCTCCTCTTTCTCTTAAGTGCATTAGTAGACACCGCTTTTTAAGCATGGCTCGCAAATTCTAAGAGCTATATACACCTAATTTGGTGTAAAGGCTCTTTTATAGGATGTACATATTACGCACATTCCACTTTTTGCATACAAAACCTGCATAGCCCTCGAAATTAATGGGAGCTTATATTGAAAGATAGAGCTCTGTGCTTTTGTATAGACGAACTTTCGTATGACATCTTTTTAAAAAATCGTTTAGTTTGTTTTAGGCCTAAATATTTCTTGAAGAAATATATGCTGATTGTTTTCTGTCTGCCAATTCATTTCAGAGCTTACACCATTTGTGGGGGCAATTGTTAAAGTGGGGCTAGGACGTTGGGCGTTTAAAAGTCAAGTTACTTACCATAAGTTTTAATTGTAACGCTTGTCTGGAGTATTTCGGTATTTGCATATGAAGCCGTACAAAAATATTGGCCGCCCATTTCGCTGGAGAGCGAGCTAATCATCAGGCCCAAACTTTCGCCGGGCAGCGTCTCCGTGTACATCGGTGGATGGTTGCGTCCCGTTCTGCATGTGTGAGAGCGTTGGGCAGGTTGACAGGTGCGGGAGTTGGCAGGTTGGGGAGAAATGAAAGAGATTGTTTCGTATTATTAGTACAGGATAATATGCAAATTGTTGTTGTATATAATCTTTATGCTTATGATTATAATAATTGTTATGAGCATTGTCGTTGTTAGTAGATTGCTTTTGTTGTTCGTTTTCTTCCATTGCATTTCTTTCGCTGCTTTTCTCTTCTCATTTGCATGCCACGCATTTCATTTCCCATATTTTTTTTTCTCTTTCTTTTTTTCTTTGCCTTAACAATTACAGAAAATTAAAAGAAAATTGCGTTTCGGAGCGTAGTGTTAATGCGACTGGGCTATTTTTTTTTCTTCGTAGGGTTAAGCAACAGTTTTCGAGGGGGGCGGGGGGCGTTTGAATGTGCAGGAAGTAATTGCCCTGAGGGCAATACCCAAAAGTATTTTCGCCAGTTTTAATATTCGCTCAAAGTTTCATATATAAGTACACAATACTTCAAATGTTGCAGCAGTCGCAGGCTGAAGTCTTCTGTCTAGGGTTGCCAACATATGATTTACTTCAACTTGTTTAAAACAATTCAATATTGCTGGGTTTTACGAAGTATAACAGTGAAAAAGAAATAAACTAAAAGGCCCAGAAAAATACTTTTGTATTTGTGTTGACAACTCTGGACATTTCTCTTGAAGTTCCTTCGTTAGTTTTTTACTAGGAAATATTTTGTCAAAGACTTCAAAAATAATGCAAATTCGCGCAAAGTAAACTGATTTTTCACTCATCCTCTATAACCAAGGTTGTCATCATATTTTAACTGAAGTATAATCAACTTATTTGAATTATGTTAGGTATTTATCTCTTTGAAAAGTCTAAAAACATGGGCAGCTATATTGTTGTCAAGAGCATAGCAAAAAAACTTTGTTTCTGTATTTTGGGCAACTCTGGTCATTCCATCTGTCACAGTTGCCTTTTCACTAAGTTTCGCTATCTTTAAATTGAAAGGTATTCAATCGAAGTTTCATTTTCCAAAGTAAAGCATTCAAAAACTGTTTGCCCAGGGTTGCCAACATGCTTGTGGCTGAAGTGTAAACAATTTGGTTACCTAGCAAAAATAATAGCTATTTTAAATCAGTTAAAATGGGCGAGGAAATTATTTTTATTTGCGGTCTAGAACAGACTGGGCACTTTGCCAGACAATAAAAAAAAAAAAAACGGCCAACTGTTGCAACTCTGAACTTTACAACTCTATCAATTAAGTGCATAGACTGTTTTCAGACAAACTGTTATCCCAAATTAGGCAGCCAGACTTGAGAATTTAAAGCGTGTCGCAACAAATAATTTGCACAAATTTTTGCAATTAGCGCTGCCTGCCAGTTGCCTGGCAACTCTGCCCAAATAACAAGTGCATGTGCGACAAACAATTTGCCATTGCCATACGCGCAGGCGTTGCGCATTAAAACTTTTCGCCGGCTTGTGCGCTATTCGCTTTGTTTGCCAATTGGCATTTGGCATGAAATCGCGCCAGCCACACACAAAAAAAAAGAAAGATATAAAATACTTCTCAGCCAAAAAAAGAGAGTAAAAATTGCCAAAAACTGGGAAAATTCTCGTACATAACTATTGCTTACTGCTGTGCGGCGAAGGGTTGGGGAGGTAGTAAAGGCACGTACTAATTAATTAAAAAACTTTTGTTGCGCAAAACTAAATATGCATAGCGGTTATTATTATGGCTTCACTTTGTAAGCCTAACCAACCCCCGAACAAACTCCTTTTCCAAAACCAAAGCAATACAAAAAATAAAATAAAATAATAGGGAACAGAAAAACTTTCGAGCCAAACGTAAATGAACAGTTTCTGGCTAAGGCAAAAGTTTGTCGAACGGAACGTGTTACATGCCATAGCCAAAGAGGGGCAGTAACTGAAAATTGAAGACTTACAAATAGCGAGCAGTGTGTGGCAAGTAACAAGTAATGGGCAATGCGTATTGTGAAACGAGTTAATCTCTCAGGACTAACGAGTGCCAGCCAACAACTATCGGCAAAAAATACCAACTTACGAGTGACGTGCAACGAATGCTAACTATCGTCTAACGGCTACGAGTAGCTACTAACGAGTAATATGCAACGAGTAACGAATCTTTCTATCAGGACGTACGAGTACTAGCTAGCGACTCACAAGAAATGAGTAATCTGCAATGAGTACTATGCACCAAAAAAATAGCTCAGGTTTGTAGCTATGTTGATAAAACTTAGATTCGTCTAACGAGTAACGAGTCTCTCAGGTTTATTGTGTGTCTTGCTGCTGTTCATGTGTCGGGGTAAATTTGTTGCTGGCTTAAAATTGTTGCTTTGTAAGATATATTGTCTGCAAGGGTATTAAAATTCGCCATTGGCATCAAAAAGACAATGAAGTAGTTAAATAAACAGATTTTTGGCTTTAACTTCAGGTGTAGACTTAAAGCCATGAGGTACATAGACCAGGAGGGATACGAAATATAAAACTGTGCAAGTTGCAATTGATTTCACATATGAGTGAGCGAGTTTGTGTGTGTGAGTGTGTGTGTGTGTGCATGTTTGTGTAAGTGTGGATGTGTTTTTTTTTAACTTTGTGATATTGAACGCAACCTGCGTTCGAATTGCGAATCGCGATTGTTGCCCAAATGCAAAAAAGAAATGCTATATGTTTGCCTTAACCACACAGACGCACACACACACACATAAGACTCACACACACACACAAAGCTCGCTGCGGTGCTCAAAAATTATGCTAACAAAAGTTCTCAACGACAATCCAAAAAATAACAAGTAAGAAAATTTTACAAAAAATTTAAGAAAAACAAAAAAAAAAAAAAAATTGAATAAAAATAAGAAAAACTGTGAAAAACAAAATGGCAACCGCATCGTATCGCAACGCAACGCACACAAGGGAAGACATTGTGGGAAAAATTGTGCTGCATATTTGCGTTGGATTTTTAATATTGCGCCGAACGGCGCACACAGACCAAGAAAACTGGAGAAAACTGGGGCCTGGGCGCAGCCGGTGGGTGGTTAGGGGAGGGGATTCGGGCAAACAAACAAGAGCGAAAACAGTTACGCATACGTAAAAATCAAATTTTTGATTGTCTCCAGAGCCATTGAAGCTGGGCCGAGGGGTTGGTTGATCGGGGCTAGGGGGTTGCGAGGCAGTCGACATTTTGGCGCCTGGGGACAACAGGCCACGACAATTTTTTATTGCATTTCTTTGGCTTAGATGCGAATAAAGATGTCGTTATTGTTGCTCAACCCTCATTCCTTTCCCACTTGTTGTTGTTGTTGTTGTTGTTGAATGCACAATGAGCCAAACATGTAGCTGAGGCAGAGGGCGGCTGGAGGGGGGGGGGGGGGGGTGGGTTTTTGTAAGGGTTGCCCAGTTGTTAAGACGCTTAAAGTCATGTCCTAGTCAAGTGCAGCAATTTGGCCAAAAGACATCCTTGGGCAAACGTTTCGGCGAACAAAAGATATCCAAACACACAATTAAGATTGAGAAAATACAGATTGTCTGAGCGCAAAAGAGAGAGACAGAACGAGGGCAAAAGAAGGAGAGAGCGAGAGAGAGGATTAAGAAGTTTTGGCAATAAATCGAAACTAGTTAAAATTGAATCGGATTTATTTAATTATCAACATAGGATACAAATTAAAAGCAACTATATTACTGACTATCACAGATTTTGTCTTAAGGCATTCGCCTGTGGCTCGAGCCCGCATTCTCGTTAGATTGTGCCACTTGAACAAGTCGTTCACATTTTGTATAATAAACGGCAGTAAAGTATTTTAAAAAGTACTTCACTTATGACCCTAAGATAAACAAAATTTAAGCACTCTGTTCGGTTTCTCATCTGTCATCCAGTGCAGTTTTTATTTATCATTCAGAATGATAGTTCCAGATGCACTTTCTTAAGGTTTTTTCTTAATTTTTCTACCTAAACTGAAAGAAAAGTACAAATAATATTTATTTCTAAATAACAATAAAAATAAGTAGATTAAAATATATACACCAGCTAAATAATGTAGTCACTCGAGGTCAGTTAGACAGACTGAGAGAGAGAGAGAGAGAAATTTAGCCTTCCATTTGGTATTTTATAGTTGTGCCTTTGCTCAACGTTATGATATCCTGTTTCGTACACATATTTATGGCTTGAGGGCAGTTAAAATTCAAATAGAAGTCAGCATGGCTGCATATATGTATGCACAACGGCCAATGCAAATGGCAAAATGAGCAAGTTAAGTGGCGACGCGTTGCCAGCCACAGAACTATTGCCAACTTAATCGCTTTAATTAACTCGAGGCTGGTGGCTGCAGGCTGCAGTCTGCAGGCTGGAGGTTGGAGGCGAACGGCCAAACGGGCAAACGGGCAATGGCCGGCAGTCACGGTCACGGCTGAAACTCTAACATTTGGGGGCCTCGAACTTGGCACTGGCATGCGGCGGTATTCTAGCTGCTGGGTGCGGGCAGCGAAGGGTGGAGGGGGAGAGGGAGAGAGAGAGTGGAGGAGATGTTTCAGTTTCGGCTTTTCGGGTGTTGTTTTTGGGTCTGTGCCCGGTTTGGCAGCTTAATTACATTTTGCGCCTGCAAGTATGCAACGCGTTGCCAGCCTGTCGAAAACTTCATTTCGAATCCAAAAAGCCCGCCCATCACAGCCACGCATTGCGTATTGTGTGGGCGTGACATGCACCACGCCCCACGCCCCACGTCTCGCAGTGCAAACACAAAGCAATTCGCGTAGCGCACATAACAAGTCGGTCAGGCAGAGTGTTGTTCTAGCATGGGGCACGTCGTGTTGGCCATATTTACTGCCAGCATTGCCAGGCCTTTGGTTTTTGTTGCAGATTTCAGCTGGGAAAAATTCAATATGGCCGCCCAGTTGATGCGTGAGCCTAAAATGTGGCCATTGCCGCGATTCTGCAGCAAAATTGAAAAGTTGCCAAGCTCAATAACAATTTTGTGTGTGCCTGTGTGTGTGTGTGTGTGTGTGTGGGAGTTGGGGTGTTGGCTCTCTGTATATTCATTTATGGGTCAGACCGAGTTCAAAGGTTAATCTCAATCCAACCTAAGTACAACAGCCCAGTTCCCACTACGCTAAATGTGCAGCCAGATAGCCCACGCTTCTGTCTAGTAGTATATTTACACGGCCTGGTATATAAGTTGAGGTTTTTGTTGAGGTTGGGGATCAGCCCCTTGCAAACTCAAGCTTGAATTTACTTAGAAAAACAGTTCAGACGAGCGTTTACATAAACAGCTAGAGCTGCCAGTTTGCAATGTGCTGGCGTTGCCACTTATTCGATTTTGTGTTCATTTCATCCCTGGCTTTGATTTGATTTTGTGCTTATTGCATTTCGAAAGTTTTGTATGATTTCTTTTTGCACAGAACCTTTTGCTGGTTCAACTTAGCTGCTCGAAGTCGTATCTGAAAGCTGAGTTGCTCAGCTGAGTTATTTCAGGTCTGAGTCGTTCAGATGAAAACTCAGCTGAGAGCTTAGAGCGAGCATGGAGTATTTTCTCCTACTAAGTAAAGCTATGCTGTATTACAAAAAAGGTTTACCTCCTAAATGCAAAGCAAATGAATTTAAATCGAAAACCTGTTTCCTTGTCGTGGACACCTTGGGGCAAGTTTCATTTATGTTAATTTTTCGTAGCATGTTTCGGCCTAACAGCGGGACATTGCATAATTTTAGGTGCGGGCGCATCAAATTTAATGTGACAGAAGCAAAAAAATATGCCCACAAAATTCAGGTTAATTGGCACGCAATAGTTGAATGCCATCAAAGATAAAAGAGCAACAGAAACAGGGAGAAAGAGAAAGTGAGAGAGAGCGAGAGAGGAAGGGAGAGTGGGGCAAAGCAATCTGTGAGACGATTCACTGACAGCAGGCTCCAAAGGGCCCTTGGCCGTTGTCTGCGCTGTTCAAACCCTGCCCTGCTTACCTCTGCACCTACTGGGGTGCATTTCCCTCGGGCAATTTAATTAACACGATTTTCATTTTCGGCCAGGCCGAGTTCTCGAAACACGCCGCAAAATTGTCTGATTTTGATTTAAGCAATTGGGAAATCTTTTGCATTCAAGTGATTTTGCCTGCAATGATTTTTTTTCTTGCACTTTTTATTATTATTTTTGCACTGATTGCAATTTGCTTTCGTTCATTTTTTCCGCCTGAAAATCAGTTCGGCAAAATGGTTTGGGGTTAGCTTTTTAATTAACATTTTTTTCAGCTGCCTGCTAAAAAGTTTGGTGCTTTCATAGCTGATTAGGAATTTGAAGTTTGCTGCGAATATACTGAGCTGCTTTATCGATCTAGCAGTCCAGTTAGAAAACAGATCGAGTTAAGTTGGTTGCGCTTGACTGTGAAGTTGGCTGCAGTTAAGCATTGCCCGGGCTTCTTAAGTTGGCTTCAGCAAAAAAAAAAAACTTGAGCAGTTGTATTTCTTTGCGCCTGCTTATTTTAATCGTTGCTTGAGCAGAATGTAGATGGCTGCACTTGACTATTTCCTGAGTATGTTAAAATAAGTGCACCCTTAGTAGCTTATGGGCGGCACATTAAGCCAGATTCATTTAGGGTGTTTAGCTAGCAGCTCTTTTTGAGCATGCCCGTTACCTGTCTCTTGAGCATATTTTGGTTGACCGCACCTAAGCGAATTCTATGTATGTTAAATTGCTTGCATTTCCGCTTTTATCAAGCGCATTAAGTTAGCTGCGCTTGACAATGCCACGAATATGTTAAGATGGCAGCGCTTAAACATGTTGAGTTCATTATGCTGTAATGGCGTTAAGTTTTCTTAAGCACATTGTGCTGCGCTCTATAGCATTCCATAAGCACCTGAATGGCAGCTGAAATTTTAAGTCTATTCTTATCTGTAACTCTGTAAATGAATTCATGAGATGCCATGGCATAAGGTAGCTGCATTAAATGTTTGCACATAAGCATGTGCTCAAGTTCTCGGCTTGATTTTAAGCTCTTGTCAAAGGTACTTTCATGCGTACAACAAACATTCAAATAATGATACTGAGCATTGAGTATTGCCAGCATTTAACACACCTGATTCGTACTTGTGAATGGGTTATGAAACTAAACTGTCGATGGAGTTGGTTAGTAGACAAAAACTAAATATTTAATTGATACGGTTGATATGATTGATACGATTATGTGGCATATAACAGCAGCTATTCAATTAGTTCGCTTTTCAATGATATAATATGAAGGAGTTTTATGTTTTTGGATGGGTTTTGTTTTATGTTGCTGTTTTTTCTATGTGGAGATGCTACGTTAGGGCCTACGCATATTTGCCGATCAATCAATAATAATAATTAAAAAAAGAAGCAAACATTAACACAAAAGAGTTAAGAACAAAACAAACATTGAATATACTTTTATATACATGCCGGCAAACAAAACAACTGAGCGAGTGGGGGATAGGAGCGGGCACGTGCTCGTTATTCAAACAGAATAGGAATTTACGAATATACGAATACGAATACGAATACGAATACGAATACGAATACGAATATGCGACTATTTGTTGCTGTTATTCGAGCTACGCAAACGTAACGAATTTTTAGTTGCATTTTTTTTTTAATGTTGTTGTTGCGGTTGTTGTTGCTGTTGTTGCTATTGTTGCTATTATTTTTGTTGTCGGCACTTACACATTCTTTTTATTTCCCTTGGAATCATATAGTGGATCATAATTGCTCCTACAGAAGAATAATATGTGGTGTGTGAGTGTGTGTGTGTGTGTGTGTTTGTGTGTGTTTATGTGTATTTTTAGAGTACACAAAATTATAGAAAATAAGTAAAAGTGCTCTAGTCGGCAGTGCTCGACTAGGGGATACCCTGAACCTAGCTGACCTCTGATAAGGAAAAATAATAATCGGATTTTCAAGAAATTTTCAGATCTTAACTATGTCTTTTATATATATGTGCGTGTATATGCCACAGCGCAGGGCTCTTTTCTGTTTCCCTTCATTTCCCGAATGAAGGCAGATTTTATTTCGAATTAGTATACCCTTTACGAGCACCTACATGTATATCTACCTCTTGTAACACTCGATTTATACCTCAAAAATCGAATGTCAAATTTAATAGTTATCGATCTTACGGGTTCGATGGTAAGTTGAATTCAGCTCGGCGCATCGATTAGAATTTGTTTACATATATACTTTAGAGGGCCAGACTTGCGTTCTTATGGCAGTTATATTTCCTTAGGTTCAGGGTATAAACACACACACATTTACAGAGTCATGTGCTATGTTTGGACTATATATATAAAAGATAAGTGCACGGTGAGTGCAAATAATTGTTGCACACTTACGGCTTGGGCAAAATCGTATTGTTCATATTGTCCTTCCATTGCAGATCGGTGACCAGTGTCTGATCTGGCACAGTTGGGCGACAGGTCAATATGAGGGGCTTGCCCACGGGCTTCCTTTGCACTTCCTGTGTAGGATAGATCTCCAGCTTGGGCTGCTGCTGAGCGCTGCTTAACTCTGTAAACAGAAGGGTAAGCGAAAGAGAGGGGCATTAGTTTAGGTAAAGAATTCGAAGCAAATTTGACTAACATTACGAACATGACTTTACTTTCAGGCGTGACCATTTGTCATGTCACAGGACATTTTGTTAAAGTAAAAGTAAAAGAAAGAATATTTGGTAATGAAATAGACCGCAAAAGAATCGTGGTATGCTCTTTGGCTGAGAGCTCATGTGAAAATATTTTTAAAATTTAAAATTTTAATATTCATATATCAATTACATCATATTTTTTTGTATGCACGTGCGTGTGTGTGTTATGTCTGTGTGTGTTGGAGTAATTCAAATTTAAATTAATTTTAATTGCCGCTGTGGCACATGTGGCACATGGGCGGTGCATGCGTTGCTTGCGTGGCAGGCGTGGCAGGAATTTCACCCATCTGCAAACAGACAACAGGCTTATTATGCACTGCAGGTGGATTGTTGGGGTTGCCTTTCTGTGTGTAAATTATTAATTAAAGTATGCCTTACTATACTATACTACTATTTAATGTTATTCTATGAAATTTTATACAAAATGTATTCAATTGTTATAAAATGCATATTGTTCTTTCATTATTACACGATTTTTTTTTTAATGCAATATACAATTATTTTTTTGTGCATCTCAAATGCACATAATTATCGAAGGCAGCAGCAAGAGTTATTTATCAGCATATATAGAATATTTAATTAAAAAATAAAATAAACAGTCCGTTTTTACGGTCCAGCTCATATACTTAGTTAAATACACACATAATAGAGCCTCTGCACAAAAACATTTGTGACATTCGCACGAAAATCGACTTGCTTGAACGCATATTACTAAGCTTAATCCAAACCTCTTCAATAGAAATGTAAGGCCGGACGAAGCCGGGCTATTCCCTATAGTATACAATTAAACTAAACATTTCATTTGCTAGGACCAGACGTGTGCTTGGACTCTAAACACAAAGGTTGAAGTTATTGTAAACCTGTTCAGCATGTCGTATGCATTATATTTAAATAATTATGTAAGGGCATTGCGGGCAACTAAGGTGAGAAGATGGACAGACGTATTTGGTTTTGATTTGAATGCAATGCCAATATTTGCAAGTGGCAAGATAATTCGGAAGACTAATTGCATTGTTTTGCTTTGCTTTTGACTCAACCACATATCCAAACATTTACACAGATAACGGTTATTCAAATGACACAGACAACGATATGTTATCGATTCAAATTTAATGATTACCAACACTGCATTTTCGTCTGTCTCCCATTTCTCAAATGGCAACAACTTTCTTTTGTTAATTTCCCATAATACAAACCTCTCCGCAACGTCGTATGCATTATATTGAAATTATTCTGCAGAGGTAAGATGCAGTGTCCATTGACCAAGCGGGCTACGAGTACAACAATATTAAGTCTCAATTTGGAAGCAATGCTAATGCTAATTGCAAGTGGCAAAATAATGCGTTTGTTTTAATTCAACTAAATAAGTTAACGTTTCCTTGGATAATTATGTAAGATTGATATTGATATATTGATATGTATTGATACGAAAAGTTATCGATGAATATTAAGCGATTGCCTATATACACTATATTTCGCTCGTCTTCTAATTCTCAAACGGTAACAACTTTCTTTTGATTAGCTTTTTGCCGCTGTCTCGGTAAAATAACTAAAAGTTTGTGTGTAGAGTAAGCGCTAAAAAAGTTACTCGCTAGTTTTTTCTTCTCGTTTATTTTTCTTTAGCTTTAGGCTAATTGCGGTCAATTAACGCTTTGTTCCTGGGGTCAGACAATAAAATAATCCAGAAGGCTTGTAGAGTTGAAGTTAAAGTGCAGAACTTTAAAACGAGAACTTTTTGCAGCTGCTGTTGCTTGATTGTTGTTGTTGTTGCTGCTGTCATTTTCATTATCATTTTCATTTTCATGAGCATTACAATTAAATGTCTTGGCTATTTGTTTGACACTTTATTGGAGCAAGTGCCGCCGACCGACGGTCGCCGGTCGCTGTCTCGGTGCCAGCTTCCAGCTGAAGTCATCTCATTAAGCGCCAGCCAAGTGGCTGCCTTTGTTGTCGGGGGTGCAGGTTGGCAGTGTTGGATAAAGGGGGGGGAGGGGGGTCATATGGGTACAGCCTGCGGTTAATGTGCGGCACTTAAGAGCGAAATTTATGTACAACGGTCAGTGGCAAAAGCCTGTAGGGGCAGCGCAGGGCTGGGTGCTGAAGGGGCGATTTGGTTAGCTGTAGCCCATCTGTTCATCTGGGCAGCTAAGCAGCCGCTGATGCGGCACAGTCATGTGGCACGCTTGCACGGCGCCCAGCGCATTTATCTTGCAACTTTATAGCTGCTGTACGCTTCCTTCTGGCCCTCTAGCCCTCTGGCCCACTGACCCCCTGGCAAGCTTGCTTCGTGCATTTCCGTTGGAGCAGCAATTGCATATGTTGTGCGGCCGAAAGGGAGAATCATATGGAAAAGAGCTACCAAAAATGAAAACACGGAACAGATTCTCACTGCACACTCGAGTGCATTATTCATTTAATGTAAATGAGTGCACAACATTTAAACACATCCACACACACACACACAGACGCACGGGCATGGGCCACTTTGCTACGCATTTCCCTCTGCTGCTGCTTCTTCTTTTGCTTTTTCTTTTTTTTTTTTGGCATACCCTTGGCACAGGGTATACTAAGCCTATGTAACCAACTGCTTGGCATTATCACAGTTTCTCAGTCTGAATGACATAGATACATATGTATGGTATATATCTGGTATTTCGTGGCCAATGTTCAGCATAGTATAGCCCAGTTTTCTACAACTTTTTCATCTATATAATAAATATTAGCTATATTAATCAGTTGTGCTAGCAAATAAGAACTGTGAGCCCTTAAAAAAGAAGTCGCTGGTTCAGTTAACGGCTTAAGCTTATTTCGAGCTTCAGTTTTGGCTGCAGTCTTGGTCGCATATTGCCAAAATGTTGATAGAACACAACTGATTGCAAGCAAAAACTTAGCTCTGGCAACTGGAAGGGTATTAACTGTGCGATTTTTGAGTTAATAGCTGATTCGAGTTGGTTTCATTGTTGTTGGTTTTATTTTTTATATAGTTTTTATATGTTTTTCAAGTTTTTTATGGTCTTTGTGTTGTTGATGCTGGGGAGCATGAATAAATTGTGGTCTATGGCATTAAACTGAGCGCTGAATGCCAAAAAGCAGCGTCAAGTGGCTCGCAAAATTAAATGTGAGCAATTTATATGCAACGCTGCCTCCTTTCCATGCAATTAAAGCATGCTGCAAAATGCCACTAGCAACAACAATAACAACAACAACAACAACAACAGTAATAAGAATGCGGGTAGAGACTTCTATCAACAGCTCAACGAACCCTGAATACCCTGCATAAGCTTCGCAGGTCAAAAGAATTCAAATAGAAGAAAGTGGAATTGGAAAGAGAGTAGATGGGCAAGAGCATAAGGAAGAAAGGCCAAGAGAGTAAGCGTAGAAAGAGCGAAAGAATTATGGAAAAAGTGGAAGGTAAAATAAATAGCGCATCAGAGTAAAAAGGGAAATGCAAGAGAGTAAGGAAAAAATCGAAAGTGAGTAAAGAAGAAAGGACAAGCTAATAGTGTAGAAAAGCCAAGAGAGTAAAGTGAAGCTGAAATCGCATAAAGTTGGACAGAGAGCGAGAAAGAGAGAGAGAGAGAGTGAAAGAGAGAAAGCGAAAGACAGAGAGGGAGCGAGAGAAAGGGTAGATATACTTGTCTAAATCTTATAGAATGATTACCATAGAGTCTAGCGAGACGAACTCAAGTTTCATACAGCTTAATTAACAGAAATGCACAGCTTTGTACGTGGTGTTAACTAAATAAGTAGTTAACGCTGCTTAGCTCGAGTGGACTGCCGAGCGCTGAGGTCACTTGAGCTGCCACTTAGCTAATATGCTAGGCAGTGAAGTGCCAAAGTCGCGATTCTAGAAGCACTCGGCGACGGCTGTTGCACCGGGCGTATGCTTAATTTATATTTATTTTATTTTAAATGCATGCTGCATAAATAAAGAGCGGGCAAAAGATAAAGTGTGTGTGTGTGTGTATGTGTGTGTGTGCGTGGATGTGTAATGTGCGTGTGCGTGTGTGTGGGCGATGTATGTGTGTGTTTGCTGTGGGCGGTTTTTCCGGCGCCGCATAAATAAACAAGCGGTAAAGAATTATCGCCTGCAGACGCAGGCGATATGGCAACGCTGCCCTGCCAGTGCACAAAAGCAACGCACGTAGGGGTAGACAGGCGAAGCGGGGGTGGTTGGGCCAGAGACAAAAGCGTGGCACTCATTTGGCCATATGGCATTTCCTTGACGTCCTTTTGCCATAAAATGCATGGGCTCATGCACAGAAATTATTGTTGAAAAACAATTAACAATTGCACATTAAAAGCGATTAAAAATATAATGTAAAATAAAAAAAAAAAAAACAAAGTACAAAATGTGCAAATTAACGCGCACATCCACGCACACACACACAGGCACACCCACACACCCACACACGCACACATCTTTAAGCTTTAAGTGGTTCACATTTTTTAGTTTTTATTATTTTTTTGCAATTTTTTTTGCTATCATTTTTATAACCGTAAAAAAGTTAAAATTAATATTTTTGTTTGCGCCAAAAAGTTTCTGCTGCGCACCACCAAAAATGTTGATTTATGTAATCCCACCACTAAAGCAGGCTCCGCCAGCTTCCCAGCTACCTACTCGCCCCGCATGCAGCAACTGTGCGTGGCCGGGCAAAAAGTTAGTTTTGAATTATGGCACAAAAATGGTAACCGAAAAATGCGTAAAAAGCGTCTGGCAAATATTGTGCAGCCATATTGAGCGGGCAGGCGTATCACCAATACCAATGGCCCGCTACCAGCCCGCCCCGCCACGCCAGGCCGAGTAGTTATGTGTATGTTAGTCTGGTGGCAAGACGTGCTCAAGTGGCATGCCACGCCTGCTAAT